TTGCCCGCCTCGTCCAACTATCAGGCTAGAATTAACGCTTTAATTCATTGTAATTTTTCATAAATCTGTGATTACAACACCTTTGCGGTGAAGAGAGACGAAATGTAGCTTAGATGGTTATTTGAAGTACCGCGTTCTCACCTCTCATCCCATCGCCCAAACAAAATCAACTGACAAAATAATATACCCTCCCCGAATTGAAGAAGAAACCCAACAAAACTCCAAAACAAAACTTCATAAAACAAAAACTTCAATGACATCGTTTTTGTATTTTTTGGAGAGAAATCCAATAAATTCACATTTGACCTGACATTGCCCTGTCTCACGTGACCCGGGCTCTCGTAATACAATGCAAGCCATCTGTATATTTCTGTAAAGACAAACATCTGATCCTAGAAATAATGTTATCTTATCTAAAATGTATATTTAAAAAAATGAGTGAGTGTGGTTTTACATCGCTCATAGCAATATTTCAACAATATCACAGCAGGGGGGCACCAGAAACGGGCTTCACACATTGTATCCATGTAGGGAATCAAACCCGGGTCTGATGAGCGGACACTTTGACTGTTTGGCTACCGTGGGTTATATAGACCCCAAAGACCTTTTCTGGGCACATCGAAGTAATTTTTATCAAATATATTTAACGGGAAGATAATACCCCAGGGAACCGTCACACAAAACGACGGTAGCACTGGGGAAGTAGTAACTCTCACACACAGGTTTCCGACTGTCTTTGGGGGCGGTGGGGTAGCCTAGTGGTTGGCGTTGGCTCGTCACGCCGAAGACCCGGGTTCGAATCCCCACATGGGTCCAATGTGTGAAGCCCATTTCTGGTGTTGTAGCTGGAATATTGCTAAAAGCGGCGTAAAACCAAACTCAGTCAGTCAGTCAGTCCGACTGTCTTTGCACTTCAAGGAACAGGGCCCAGGCTGTTTTTGTATCGTCAAGCAAACAATATCATATGGCAAAAATTGATAGAATGAATGAGTTTAGTTTTACGCCACTGTTAGCAATATTTCAGCAATATCACGGCGGGGGACACCCGCCAGAAATGGGCTTCACACATTTTGCCCATGTGGAGAATTGAACCCGGGTCTTCGGCGTGACGAGCGAACGCCTTAACCACTAGGCTACCAACCGTTCCATGATGATAGATGTTATTGCCATATACTAGTGTGATAAAGGCCATCGATCTTGTATCATGACGAAAACCATGGCAAGACAATGTAAAGACCACAAAACGGTGATAGCACTGCGTCATTCGTAATCCTGTAATAAACTACTAGTATATAGTTACGAGAAATCGTAACGTTGCGAACGCTTTGTGGATTGGGATCCTGAACACACTAACGCCGCAAACAGTGGTGTGTTTTCTACAATTTTATGTCAAGCCTTTTTATAATTGAGCACCAGAGCCTAGATTTTCGAAGCTCTCTTAGCGCTAAGAAAGTCGTAAGTGCCATACATTAACGTTAACTTACGACTATCTTAGCGTTAAGAGAGCTTCGAAAATCTAGGCCCTGTTGTCTAGGCTATCCTCAGAAACAAAATTCACTGGAGTAAACGGAAAGAAATAGATGCGCGGATTGTACGGAGGGATCACTGAAAGTCAATGAGACATTAGTGTTCGCGAAAAGGTTAAACATGACCTACCCTCAAGGTATCACCAACCATTCATACAAAATATTTTTACAGCCCGACGCCACACAGCAGAACTCCTGTCAAGAGACGGCTTCTACAAACAGCCCAGACAATCAAGTGATCAATGGACAGGAAAACCCACACGTTCCAGAAATGCCGACGTGATGCAGATCACAGACGTTCACAACGTTGGAGAAAGCTACAAGAACGGGAATGGTGGCAGCAAACCTAAAATATAATCACCGAGGACCGGGATTCGATCCATCGATCATTGATCTCTAGCAAGCCCACGTAACACCATCCTTACAACGAATTGCGGTGCCTCCGATCAAGACCATGCTAGCTATTCTCGAAACGTTCGTAGCCCTACGAAATTCTTAAGCCCATTCTTAACACATTGGCTACGAGCAAAGTTACGAATTCTTAGGGCTACGATCGTATCGAGAATAAGGACCCATATCCACAAAGCGTTCGTAACGTTACACCTGTCTTAACGCTATAAAATATCATCACTGGCTTACGAATGACGTAGTGCTACGAACGCTTAGTGGACACGGTCCCAGTATCATAACCTACTTCCGCTCAGTTTCTTTTATTTTTTAAATAATTTTTTGCATCATACGTGATCCTCCCTGGGAGATGCAAACAAAGGGTTGATGGTGTAAGCGCCAGTCAACCAGTCACGTGACAGTTGACAAATGGGCACCTGCATCTCAGACACAGGGGCATCCGGGGCCCATCAAGACATTCCTATCAAATTAGTGCTAGCAAATATTCAGGTAAGATTGTAAATAAACATCTTTATATTGTAATTAATGCATGAACCAGTTTATGGAATACTCGTGAACGTTCATTCATTTATTACAGAAATCAAGGAATTTTAAAATTCAGACTTAAGCTTTGTAATTGTAAATTCTTAATTTCACTTCTAACAACAGTAACTATATACTACATCATTGATTACATGATTCAGTTGTTAATGTATGGGATAGGATAAGGGCCGTTTCTGGCCAATAGAAAATAGCAGAGTTTAAGGTGGCGGAAAACTGACATGTTCAAATGGCTGGTAACCCATTTTGGAATTCTAATGTGATACTGAAGTATGGCTAAACTATGTGAAAAGGGCTCATGTTAGAAGTCTAGATATGAGCAAGTACATGATCAAAGATGGATTATTTATCAAATGTTGGCAATGGTGTTATGTCTGTTTCATCTGAAAATTGCCTGTGTATACTATAAGATTTGCTCATGTCCAACTGTTGGTAAAACGTTTCTTGGAACCTGTCAAATCAGTACTTTATCTATACACTTTAACCTTGCTTATTTATTTAAGCACTTCAGTGAGTGAGTGAGTATGGTTTTACGCCGCTTTTAGCAGTATTCCAGCAATATCACGGCGGGGGACACCAGAAATGGGCTTCACACATTGTACTCATGTGGGGAATCGAACCCGGGTCTTCGGCGTGATAAGCCAACGCTTTAACCACTAGGCTACCCCACTGCCCCTTATGCACTTTAGTGTTATCATAAGTCTCAAACATGCACTTTTTGACTTGTAGCTTAGTGGTTAAATCGTGCACTCGTCACGCCGAACGCCCGGGTTCGATTCCCCACATGGGTACAATATTTCAAGCCCATTTCTGGGGCCACCCGCTGTGATGTTGCTGGCATATTGCTGAAAGCGGCGTAAAACTAAATTCACTCACTCACTAAACTCTGCGGATCCTGTTGAACAAAAAGTAACCTTACTCCACCTCGTCCTTTCCGTTCGTAAAATGCATAAGGCTGAATGTTGTCCCGATTGTATACTGCCTACATGCATGTTGTGAATTTTATGGGGTAGTTTCGCTGATTTTCAAAGTGGTATTACGGGAATGTGGTCATTTTTAAATGGTCAGTTTGTAAAATTAAACGTTTACCAGATTCATGTATCGGATCGTTTCTTGTTTAAGAATAGATACATATTTACCTAAAATACTAACTCAAATGTGTCAGTGTTTAAAAGAATAAAACCATATTACACGGTTGCATGCCATCATTACAAGGGTTCTGATCACTATTACCCGTAAAGATCCGGGTCAGAATCGATCTTCAGCAACCCATGCTCGTCGTAAGCGGCGACTAACGGGATCGGGTGGTCAGGCTCGCTGACTTGGTTGACACAGGTCATCGTATCCCAACTGCGCTGATCGATACCCATAATGTAAATCACTGGATTGTCTGGTCCAGACTCAATTATTTACAGACCGCTGCCATCGAGATGGAATATTGCTGTGTGCGGCGTAAAACAAACAAGCAAGCAAAACTGAACTCGAAATTGTCAACAAATCTGTGCTGTATTATATATCTTGTAGGATTTTACTTAATACAGGGAAGGCATTGCAATCCCCCCAACCCATCCTCCCCCACACACACACACACATTACTCCTTTTCCTATGATTTTAGCCCATAGCCTCTCATTACGAAATCAATTTCGAGTGATCCATACCCAACAGTCATTTTTTTTAAACACATCGAATATGTGACGGTATGGCACAGATGATTGTTTTTAGATTTTAAGCGATGTCAGCATCTTTACCGATCTGGGGCGGTGGGGTAGCCTAGTGGTTAAAGCGTTCGCTCGTCACTCCGCAGACCCGGGTTCGATTCCCCACATGGGTACAATGTGTGAAGCCCATTTCTGGTGTCCCCCGCCGTGATATTGCTGGAATATTGCTAAAAGCGGCGTCAAACCATACTCACTCACTCTTTACCGAACGTTTCAATTTGAATAGTTGATTCAATAAAATCAAATGGAGGTTTTAGTCCTTGTTTCATATTTCCGCATTTGAGCCCTAGGCTTAACCTTGAAATATTAGGTCGTAAAAATATATCAAACCCATTATTTGCCCGTGGACTTTAATACGCTTTCCGGCATTCGTGGATGACGAGAATGGTCACCCATGTTGTAACGCTCAAATCACCCTGGACAAATGTTGGCGTTATAACAAGGGAAGACTGTACAATCATAAGGTATAAGACAATGTCGCGTTATCTTCTAAATCCAACAAAATAGTTTATCGCGAACCTAAACCACGTGAACAAACTTACAGACCGGACTTCAACACCTTGATAATGTATTTATCGGAATTTGTAGACATCTGTTAATCAGCTGTAGTCTCTGCCCCCTTTCTGTTCCCCCTCCCCGTCACACGTGCGTTCCCATCCAGGGTAGCTCTGGGTATCTACCGGGTGGGACAACTCTATCTCCCCGATGCGGGTTTGCACACAGCGGAACGATCGCGGGACAGGTGGTGAATTTCCCGTGTCCCTCCGCTCTCATAAAGAGGCCGCGCAACACCGGGTTGTCATTCCAGCCCACGCGACACGCCGAATTTGATACCTTACCTGCCGGGTGATGGTTAAAGAGGAAATGAGACACTGACTTGGGGAGTATTCCGTGGTGAAGACAAGGTCAGTGTAAAATTATTTTGAAATTAATATTAATATTTTAAATGGAAAATGTTAGTGTAAAATACTATTATTTCCGATTAATAATTTCAATCGGCACATGTCAGTGTAAATACTATTATTTTGAAATTAATAATAAGAATTGGAACCTGTCGATGTAAAATACTATTATTTCAATTAATAATGGACATTTTGTTATGTGTACAAAGAAATGTATTTTTATAGTAATTAATGTTCCACATCTCCCAGAATGTAAACTCACGGACGAAGGAACGTCACCTCGCTTTTTTTAACATGTCACAAAACAACAAATTCAGATGGTGGAAATTTAACAATCATATTTGGAAAATTAATGGATTTACAACATTCTGAATGATGAAAGTTTGAACTACAGATAAGAATAATCACTTAGTGTACGATAAAAAATAATTTTGGTGACGTTTCTTTCGCCCGTGAGTTTACATATTGTTATTAGTAAAATTCTATAACTTTCATTACAACAGGATCGTTAACAAAGTGCTTCTTTGACAGAACCATCACGCAATTAGTATTTTGCCTACGTGTCTTTTATAGTATTAGAGAGAATTACTTAGATGTTTCACGTGTAAAAGAGTGACTTTTGGAGTTAACTTTTCACCCATTTTATGAAGTATACAAATGAAAATAAGAAGAAATCAACAATACGGTGCTGGGCCCCGTTTCACAAAGCGATCGTAGCGTTAAGGTGATCGTAACACCCATACTTTAACACAGACTTACGACAGGCGTAGTGCTACGATCGCTTTGTGAAACGGGGCCCTGGACAGTACATTTAATAGTCGACTACTAGTCTGTCTCACATTCCCTGAAGCATATTATTTTCCCTAATGAATTTAGATTTCCTCACGTTAACCAATTCGGATCTTATATGTCTCAGAGTCTTCCATCCCACTGGGGCTCCTGTTTTTCTTTTGCTTCTCTGAGTGTTATATGTTTTCAGAGACTAAGAGTTAGTCTATTCAACAACATGCCGTGGCATTATAAGATATACATAGGGGTAAGAAAAACTTCTCACTTAGGATTAGGAATCGAGAAAAATGCATAAACGAACTCGACCCTTCATTGCACGTGTTCGCGACGTTCTAGAGTATTTCACATCAAGTTCCATCTCAATAGGTTATACGTATGTTTTATTCTGATTAAGAGACACGGGTATTGGTATTGGCGAAATACTGAATAACATGTAAGATGGATGTTTAAGCCTTGAAAATATTGAAGCTGACTCATTTATTTAAAGATCTCTCTCACAGGATGTTTTCAAGTGCAGATAGTGCTATCGGGGAATTGAGCGATAATGGCGACCCTCCACAATGGACGATTGAACGTTTAAGATTCCGATACAGCTAGATTATGTTTAAAAGTTATCGAAATTTCAATGAGCTTTATAAACATTTCTGCCCTTAGAAGATTCAAAACTAACGTAATTTCACTCACAGTCGCGACCGAACACATATTGTTAAGAAAGGAACCGCACTAAATTGTGATCTCCAGAACGGGAGAACTTTATCAGCGTTTATAAGCTTCAGGCCACGTGCTAGTTTTCCCATTGTGAGTGCAGGTTTGCGGGTACAGAGCATGATTGCTTGAATGTATTGAACATAAAACTCTTTAGGACTGCACATACATATATAAACTGTAAACGTCTGGAGTGTTCAAAGCTAAGCTATCCACATTCATACAGAAAAAGGGAAAGGCGTTCTTGCCCGATTATTTATTTTGTATGGAGTCAGGTTTTCAACTCTCACTTTATCTGAATATTCAAATTTCATGATGTATTTTAGTTTGTCATTATTCTAATTAAACAGATACAACGACTCAATTTAGGTTACTATGAAGTAAAACATAAAATAAATCACTGACAAAATTTAATTCCTATTTCGAGTTTGAAAAATGTACATAGGCACCCCCGTTTGTCCTAAAAGTCATTAATAAATTACTATTGAAACTCTCGTGAAAACGGGTGAAAAAAATGAACTGTGACTCTCTCTTCCGCCCCTGATGTATATGATCATCTTATGTTGTTTTAGTGTGCATGAAGTATATTGGCCATTGGCGTTGTTCTCCATGCCATCGTAGTATAAGTGTCTTAATTCAACATTAGCCAACAATGCCTTTAACTCCAAACTCTGCAGCTGTGCGTAAACTGACACAGGTGTGTTAGGAGGTTCTTCGATTCCGCCGCCATGGCACGTTCCGGTATTGATATCTAAAAGAGCTTTGTAGATTTGGTTCTGGGCTGAATGTACCCTACCGAACTATGTCAACATGAGGATAATTACTATGATTGAAATTTTACATCGATTTTACGTAATACATCGGATACCTCCTAATTACCCGGGATTTAAACAAGGGAGCGTACTCTAAACCTTGGACAAATTCAGAGTTACCTCCCCTCGAATGAATTTGGATTGGGCTCAAACAAATGGCCGATAGCCCCAGTAAGCGAACACCAGTGTTTCCCCCCGTCTAATCAATCTAATTCAGTCAAGGGCTTCACATGCTTCAGATAAGAGAACCAGGGTATGGCGAAGAAGTGAAATTACTGCTAACCTACCGCTCCTGTGAAACACAGTCAAAATCAACGTATTGCATTGTCTAGACAGAGACAGAAATTCGGCAACATATAGCTTGTGCACCAGTTCCCCTCTTTAACAACATACTTTATGAGAAAAAGATTGTTTTTCGTAACGAGGATGTTTCCCGTTGATAGAGCCTCTTTTGATAATGCACAAATGTACTGATTCAAGTAACCCGTGAACTGACCCTGGGCGCCTTTATTGCATAATTTAAAACATCCGTATCTTTCATGGGACAACTGCACTGGGCGTAGCCACGCATAATTAAATTCCGTTCGATTCCCTAGATGGATACAATGAGTGAAGACAATTGCTGGTGTCCCTCGCCCGTGATATTGCTGGAACATCACTGTTTCCTATCTTTCGGGTGGTAAATGTCAGACGTTAACAATGATGCCATAACACCCATAGCTCTGTTATCAAATTCAGGGCAGCAAAAACAATAACAGAGCAGTAAGCGTGGATGTATTTCCTGTCCTCGGGTAGTGAGTAAGTTGGGTTTATCGTGGCTTTGAACAGTATTCTACATCTCAGGACATGTATGATAAATATTGGAGGGAAGACGAAAGGGAGTCAAGTGGCAGAGGTTATCTCTTAAACATCCAAGTTTTACCGATACGATACCTCTCAAGGTGTGAGGATGCGCAGATGGAAGATCGCGTCAGGTGAACCCTGATCAAACTCTGACCGCCCAATCACAATGAAGGATGCACGAGTTCAGGGGCCAATTAGGTGTCATTGCTTTACCGCCTAGACCCGGGAATTTCCGATTTTGGGAAACCATTTAGGGTGCAGATGTAAATTGTCCACAAGAAAATATTAAAACATTACAGGGCGACACTATTTTATCGCCACCGGATTTCGAGAAATATAATCATTTTGCAAACAGTCAGATAAAAATTATGCTGGTCTGAATATGTTTCTCACTCAAGCCGAATATTCAGAATCCGCGACGCTGATTGGCTACATTGACTGTTCAACTATATGGAGGCATCATGTAGTACTGTATCAGAGTTAAAGGGCTGATTTGATCGATGGGCGACGTTTAATACTTTAGTGACACCAGTGAGTCTCTAAGTGACCGAATCTGTTTGTTCCGCTAATGAGCCGAATAACCGTGAAACGTGTTGTTGTCTTTAATTGTTTAATGACGCAGTTAATATTATCATAATATATGCAGCGGTAATAAATAATCGAATCTGGAGCCAAATATCCAGTGATTGACATCATGAGTATCGATGCAAAGATATATCCATTGTATCCATGTAACAGCACGCTATGAACCAAGTCATCGACCCTGGCCACCCGATCCATATAGTTGCCTATTACAACCTGTATAGGTTGCTATGGGCCTATGTTCCCAACCAGGATCCCTGCGGATATTATCAAGTCTGGATATGATAAGCTGCATTACGATACAAGTGACATCCTGTGTTATCTGCGGTCATCATATACAACAAAGACCCTGTACTTGAACCGGCTGGGGAACACTGTAAAATAGTGTTGTAACACAGTGATGTTATTGAGTAAAGATTAGTGTAACATTTTCTTAACGGCAGTATATCTTCCGTGAAGTTCTTGTTACAACAGAAACTTTTCTTGGACAGACTAGCTCAGGGGTAAAATGGTAGACTGTTGTTGCCAGGTGAGATGAATTGTGGTTCAACAAGATCATTGCGCCTACATACGTGTGTGTCTGTGCATGTGTGCGTGCGGGTTTGTGCGTGTGTCTGTGCGTGTTCGTGTGCTTGTACTAGTGGTGGTCCGATTAATTGAAATAATCGAAGATTGGTCGCAATGACAAAACGACCAAGCAATCGATCATGTTTTCTCATAATCGAACACAAACAATTTTGGACCACTTGTTTGCAATAACAATATTTTTCAAAAGGTTGATTTTGTCTCGACATTCCATAAGCACTACAAGCTCGTTCCATGTCATGATTAAGTTTATCTTAACAACTCCAGGAAATGTATGTTCCTAACACACTAGTCATCCTTTAAAGATGTGAAATTTGCAAATGCAATTTGCGAAAAAAAACGAGAGAACTACATGTTTTTTCTTTATTTTTTGTGCATTAACAAACATAACCAGGAAAATTTGATAAATGACGCTAACCAATTATTTTCGATGATTGATCGGTTGTAATGAACCAATCATCAATTATGAGATTTACACCAATTCCCAACACTAGCTTGTACTAGTCAGGGCGAATGTCGGTTTTATAGTGACAGCACACTGAGATGCCATGTAGCGGTTTCACATGGAAACACCACTCAGACAGAGTCTACTGAGTCTCAGCCCACCAGTCCTGACGTTATCTCCTTGGTGGGTGCACCAGGCAGGGCAACAACAAGTGTCATATTTTGAAGTATGTTCGTAGGACGCTGCCCTGCCGACTTTGCGCACTGTCCATTAGACCACGGAGTTCGTCTGGTAATGTGGAACTATATGCCAGTTCATATAGCAAAATGTTCTCTTGTCTAGGGTTGTTTGAACATACGCTTTAACCACCATGCTACGCCACCGCCATACGTAACATAGACCCTGCTGTGTCTACTGTGGAGACCCTGGTCGGTTCAATATGTTTGCACACATGGACACATGGCTGTTTGTTCCGCCTGTCCTTGAATTCTAGGGTCGATGACATAAAACAATGTACTGTGCATAAGAGTACTTCATTAGTAGACACGAGGAATGTCCTTTTCCGGTTACTGTTGAATGTCCGAATAGAGTGAGTTGAAATTGTTACATCTCATCTACAATATTGCACCTTCACCGCTATGGAAGAAACAGGAAACTGATGACAAACCACGTGTTTCTTTCTAGCTTAAGGTTTACTCGATTTGAAGTGTCACCTATTCCTGCTGTTAAAGTGGTTTAAGTCGCTCCAGATAATGAGGTGTGTATTACGTCCTCTGCTCAAATAACCAGCACTTCAGCCAATATCGTCCAGGTCCGTGCTCAAGGTGGAGACATGTGAGAAGCTGACAGCTGCTGATCAATGTACATCAGACTTCTGCAACAGCATTGCAGGTGTTGAACTTGATGCGTCTGTACACATGATACGTACATGCCAGGGTCTTAATATTAAGTGGAGTCATACTTCCGTTAAATGGAATGCTTTTTAAAAAATAATCGACGAATTTAGCAAACTTGTATAACCTTGTGCAGCAAATATAGACACGTAGGAGCTGTGTACTATGCGTCTTGAACTGTGAACCCGCAATAAATTTACAGTGTTGGGAACAAAGGACGATGGCGTAATCTTAGATTCATAAATTGATTTACGAACATCTGGTATCACCACTAATTTTCAGTGATCCTTCCTTTTAATTTTCTTGACTGCATGTTTTTGCCATTTATGCCCAATGAAATAGGTTCTATCCCAAACATCCACATCAGTATGCCAAAGCGTGTGCAGTCAACCAGAAATGTTGTTGGAAGCTGTGGAAGTCTTGGGATGTGGAAGTTTTGGGAGGATACCAATGAAATTGTTTTGGGCAGATAATCGAGAGTAATTATTTTCTTGAGTCCACGTTTAATATTCACAGTAATTTCAAAAGAACGAATATCATAACATAAGCCCCTTACAAAAAACAAAACTGGTTCTATATAGTGTATCATAAATACATTACACTTAGCATACGTTTTGTCCTGTTACAGGTCATTCACCAGCATCATGAGCCCGTCAATACACATGTCCATGTCCATGTGCCGGAAGTGCAGAATGCTACGGCGGAAGTGAAGGATGCTTTGGACGCAGAGGGAGAATATTAAAGCTGTCCGCTGACCCGAGCAGTTCGCAACAAGACTTACTTTTGAGTGTTTTGTTCGTTCGGCTCGCGTTACTTTGACGGCACATACATCATATAACGAAACAGCGACTGAGTCCATCAGGGGCGTAGCTACCATTATAAAAAAAAGCCCGGGCTTACACATGACTGTTGCCCCAAAAGGTTGGGCAAGTCCTCAATACTATCTAAATAAAAAGCTTTGCAACCAATCGGGCTTACACGAAACAATTGGCTGGCTACGCGCCTGTCCATGTTGTTTAACGCCGGAGTTAACCCGAATGTTGTATCACAGCAGTCTGAATAAATACTGGAGCCAGTCCAAGACAACCAAATAATCCTGGGCTACTCCTCGCGGATCCAAGACAGCGAGACAAGCATCGGTTATTGTGGAAGTACTCACCCCGTATGTATGCACGTATAGGAGGCAACAGTCGGTTACCAGGGACCTGACATAAGATATGCTGAGTTTGGCAACAATCTGCATTTAAGGAATAAAGATTATGGCACCCTGTTATGTAATAATGGTTCCGTTTTTTCCCTTTACTAGCATATATAGTAACCTAATTATAAGTTAAAACACGAGCAGAATATTAAGTGTTCATCGCCGTATATTTATGAACGGTGGGTGCCATTCTAGTACACAATATTTTAAGTATCACTAAACCCCCACTGAATATTCTTCCACACAAACATATCTTTACCTCAGGGCGTTAAAACCAATTAATATGCATGTATACCTCAAATTTGATATGAATTAATCGTACCTGTAGTTAATGCAGTTAAAATCAATCATAGCATGGGGCCTTAAGGTCTACCAAGGTCTTACGCCAACCAAATCTAACGTATCCCAAATTGAAATCTGGTGTTCAACTGATGAACTCTGCTACTCCACAGCGGGCAAGGGTGGCTCAGTTGCTTTGGCCATGTCATTCGCTGTGGAAAGTTGCCTCCCTTTAGGCCCTGTCACACTTCTGCGTATCCTATTTCCTTATGAGTTGCGCATTGACATTTCTTTCATACGCAGTCGTACGCACAATACGCACCTCATATGCATCTCAATCGTTTTGTGTAAGTTTTATTTACGCCGGCATACGCACAGTACGACCCAGTACGCCCGATAGTTTTGGGCATGCACCATACCACGCTGCGTATAATACGCAGGTAATAAGTTATAAATACGCATGCAGTGAATCGGTTCCGCATCGGTCGAGCTCGGTAAGTGTTCGTGGGGGTATATTGAGCGTATACATAGCGCACTTGCAGCGCTGATACTACGCACGCTGAACGAACTCGTAGCGAATGCCGACGTATTGCACGAATTAGTAGAGTTTGTCCGTCGATCGGGCAGCGCATTGTACTTGTTTGTAACTTATGACAAACGCATAGATACCGTACTTGCCGAACATCCAGGGTGCACACGAGATAATTTATAAATAGGATGGCTCCTCAAGACTACAGGGTGCACAGATCCGGGCGGCCCATGATGACAAAAGGTAATGTTCACGCAATGGAATCTGCAGTGGTAATGAAAACAGCGGGAAGCAGCCGCCTTTTAAATAAATCGGGAATACGCTTGGCATTCGTCGGAGGTGTAAGGCACGCGGTCGGCTTACGTGTAAGTTGGGTGCATGCTCACTGCATATTCAACTACTTGCAGCAAGAAAAATACCGTTACGCAAATCATACGCACCTAATACGCAATGTATGCGCTGGATTCGTTAATTATACGCTAGAGTCAAAAGTCAAACTAATAAAAGAATTCGCAATTTTGAGCGTACGGCTGCGTATAACTGAATTGTTTTTTTTATAAGGAACTCATAAGCACTTGATATACGCAAATGAGTGAGTTGGTTGGTTGGATTTTACGCCGCTTTTAGCCATATTCCAACAATATCACGGCGGGGGACACCAGAAATGTATACGCAAATGTGTGACAGGGGCTTTAGTCCTGGAAGCTGATCTTTGACTCCAATCAAGGATGACCCGTGATAATGATTGTCAGTTGGTCAGTTACATACCCACTCACGATTTTGCTTGGTTGGTTGGTTGTTTAACGCCGCACTCAGCAATATTCCAGGTATATGGCGGCGGTCTGTAAATAATCGAGTCTGGGCCAGATAATCACGTGATCAACAGCATGAGCATCGATCTACGCAATTGGGATACGATGGCATGTGTCAACCAAGTCAGTGAGCCATACCATCCGATCCCGTTAGTCGCTTCTAACAAAAAGCATGGGTTGTTGAAAATCAATTTTAACAGAATCTTCACAGGTCTACCCACTCAGGAGGGTCACCTACATCGACAAGTTATGTACGATCTGCATTTAATGTTGAGATATACATGTATAAGATATGTTCAAAGTATGAGCTGAGGTCTAATACGCATGAGCTCACGTTCAATATATAACATGGACGCATGACCTCACAAACAATATATAACAGGGACACATGACCTCACAAACAATATATAACAGGGACACATGACCTCAAAAACAATATATAACAGGGACACATGACCTCACGTTCAGCACATTACATGGCCACAGGACCCCCCTGTTCAACACATGGACGCATAACCTAAGTTCAGTATATATAATGTGCCCGTGACCTCACATTCAATATATAACATGGATTTATGACCTGACGTATGATATAAAACATGGACATGATCTCTGGTTAAGTATATAACATGGATACACGACCTCACATGCAATATATGACAGGGACGCATGGCCTCAAGTTCAATATAGAACATGGACACAGTACCCCACGTTCAGTATATAAAGTGAACACAACCTCACATTCAATATATACCTAGTCAAAAAATAAACTTCACATTCTTTCTTCAGGGCACTATAAAAGAACAAGAGATGGTAAGATGGTTAAATTGTTATTATTTCATTGCTGAGATCTGTGTGATGTACCCGATACACTGACAGTGGCATAATCAGTTCCACTAGGCTACACCGCCATTCCAAAACATGGGTATACAGAATGTCAAGTCACAAGAATAAAAATGCGAAATTTCTCAGTTCAATATCGTGTATGGCCGCCCCGCTCATTCACCACTGCCAAACACCGTCTTCTCATCGACTGCCTAATGCTTGTGAACACGTGGTTGGGGATTCTGCGCCATTACTCTTGCAAGGCAGCGCCAAGTTCCTGCAAATTCTGAGGTTGGTTCCTAAGACCACGAAGCCTTCTCCCAAGTGCATCCCAAACGTGCTCTATTGGATTAGGGTCAGGGGACCTCGATGGCCAGTCCAAGACGTTGATTCCAGCGTTTTGAAGGAAATGTCGTGTCAACATCGCGGTATGCGGCCGAGCATTATCATACTGGAACTGTAGACCTGGACAATGAGCCGCCATGAAAGGAACGAGTTCAGGGGTGAGCACCTGGTCGCGGTAAGCCGCAGCTGTGAGGTTTCCACGGATGACCAGAAGTCGGGAACGATTGTTCCCACAGAAAGCACCCCACACCATGCAACTTCCACCCCCGAATCTGTCGACTTCCTGTACACAACATTGGGCATACCGTTCACGACGTAGTCTCCAGACTCTATGCCTGCCGTCCGCGAATCTGAGGGTAAACCTGGATTCATCGCTAAAGACGACTCGATTCCAGTCTCTCTGGGTCCATCGGAGGTGACGTTGGGCCCACAGCAGACGTTGACGTTGATGAAACGGCGTCAATATTGGCCCACGATATGGACGTCGAGAATGGAGATTGGCAGCCCGCAACCGATTTCGAATGGTCTGTGAGGACAGTCGACCTCTAAACATCTCAGCCCTGATTCGTGTAGCCGACAGAAATCTGTCACGTAGGTGACGTAGGACGATTTGACGGTCTTCTGCTCGTGACGTCACACGTGGACGACCCGACGTTGGGCGATCAGAAGTGGTGCCAGTTTGTTGTAGACGACCTCGCAAGTCATACACAGTACGACGGCTGCATCCCATTGCTCTTGCGACGTCAATAACTGATCTTCCCGCTTGCAACATGCCAACGGGACATTCACGTTGCACATTTGACAATCGTGGCATTTCAAGTACCGTAAGAACTGTGGTTTAAAAGTGTTTTTTTCAATTCTTGAGGCCAATGCAAACACGTGCATATGAAGACAACTTCGATGCGAAGATCACGTGATTGACTGCACGTGCAAAACCTGATTTGGCACTAACGTCATTTGCACGACGAATGGATGGGTTTGAGTGGGTTTTGCTAACGTTTTTCTAGAGTCGAAAGATAGGGATTCCATTTCGGATACATAGATGTATCACCAGAGAAAAAATATTCATTATTTTTCAAATTACATTTTGTGAAGTTTCTTATTTGACTTAGTATATAACCTTATATTTTGCATGGCACAATGACCTCACATTAGTTTATATCAGACACGTGGCCTCATGTTTGGTATATAGCATAGACACATGCCCTCACATTCAGTATATAACAGACATGTGATCTCACATTCAGTATATAGCATAGACACGTGACCTCATGTTCAGTATATAGCATAGATACATTGTCTCATGTTCAGTATATAGCATAGACACATGACCTACCATTTGGTATATAGCATAGACACATGACCTCATGTTCTGTTTACAACAGGTGACATCATGTATCATGGACTGATGAGCTCAGGTTTAACTGCCACTGGGTGTAGAGGGTGTGTCACGAGTGGAAGGTCGGTGGCACTATTCCCTACTGCAATAATCCAAATGACGTGAAACGATTGTAGTTGTTGGTTTGTGATGAGCTCAAGGTAGGCAACTAAGATATCATAAACTCGATCCCTTTCAATGGCTGGTCGGGAATTTTTTAGTTTCCTGATGGTGTAGTTGGCGCTATTTCTGATAAGCACGCAGATGTTGTTTCATGTATTGTGTGGTCTGGGTTGGCTTGGAACATTTCACTCTTGTCAGCAGCACAGGGATTGTGTCGGGATAAATGAATAAATGGCTCCAAAGAACAGGGACAGGGGCAGACTTTTCCATTGATTCATGGTGGCAGGACCGCCTCCTTCCATCTTCCATTGCTTTTACAAATCAAATGGAATCGAGCTATCAGGAAAACCCCAGTGTCACCATACTTCGGTTCACCAAAGTTGTCCATTCTTACTGAGCCTTGATGGTAATGTCATCATGTCAGGATTACTTCTATTGACTGATGTTTTATTAAGCACAGCATAATTTAGCATAGCATAATAAATATACTGACGTCAACAAGCAAACATTTATTTTCGATCAAGAGTAATCTGGAAGTCTCTGACACAACAGATTGATCTGGCATAGTAGAGTGTGTTCCGGAGGATATTTAGGACTATACAAGGGGCAAGGGCATACCTTTATTGGCAAAATTTACATCAAGAACAGCGGCCATGTGAAGATTTTACTTATGACCATTCTTGCTGCAATGCTGTGAATGACATTATGGCCGACTTTCTTAGTATTATCATGCAGGCAGCCATCACAGAGACATGGAGACAGACAGTGTGTGTGACTTGTACACTGGGAATGCTAAAATTATTACCCTTTCACAGGATCAGTTTGCACTCAATATTAATCTAAGCTCCTGGGACTATACAACCCAAACTGTCAGTGAGGCACAGAACGTTAATGGCTACTTTACCATTTATCCCACTTGGTACGCATTCACACCTGGGTGAACAGAGGCATACCATGAACAAAGTGACTTTCCTAAGGAGTCACCACCTGTTATGTCTGCCTCATGGAACTGAGACATCAGAACTATACCTCATCAAGTTGCTGTTCGCCCACTCATCCAAGGACTTTCTGTGAGCAACATTGCATGACCTGAATAAGGGGATTTGTCACAATGTTGCTTTTTACAGCTCCTGATTGTAGCCCAACAGGAAGGAAAGACGAGGTCAATGTTTTGGCCGTTTTTCCAAGTCCCTATTTGTTTTTGTTCCTGAGGACAGCATGAAGCTGTTACATCAATAACAACAGTGGGGTAGCCTGGTGGTTAAAATGTCTGCTCGTCATGTCGAAGACCCGGGTTCGAGACCCCACATGTGTACAATGTGTGAAGTCCATTTATGGTGTCCCCCCAAAGTGATATTGGTGGAATATTGCTGAAAGAGGGATAAAACTACTCACTCACTCACCCTATTACATCAACAACAAAGAGACAGAAACACATGATAAAGTTTTCGAGCCAAATTTACTCGATGGCCCCCACGAAGGGTGGCTGAATACAAGCATCAGGAGCGGGTTGTCTATTTGGCTCCACCATCCCCCAAAGGCCAGCTCAACACAGACAGACATAGCAGTTTCTTCACCTGTTCATCTCAAATGGATACACTTGAAACTCACTGAACATCAATTCCATGCTATAAGAGTGAGTGCATGTTCAACGTATAATATCTCAGGCAGCCACATTCCAGACAAATATGGCTCTTCAGAAATGATCTGAACCAGGCGACTGACCACCTGAAATGAACCTCATATATAGTCGGACTATCTTCTTTTGTCCATCCACAATATGATACAGTGGTGTCCTGGTGAGCCCACACGACCTTGCTGAGTTGATCCAAGTAGCAGTAGATTGTATGGAGCTGAAACAAGAAGTCCGATCTGTGAACATCCTCTAGTTATGTGTGGATTGTGGATACCTACAGGAAAGTGATCCATATGGTGGTCGACTGTCCAGACTGGAGTGTTTCAGATGGTCACACACTGTTCAACAGTCCAGGACAGTCAGTTTCAGATGGTTATATCGTTGACTGTCTATACTAGAGAGTTCGAGATGGTCACACATAGATCAACAGTCAGTTTCAGATGGTTATATCGTTGACTGTCCATACTAGAGAGTTCCAGATGGTCACTCAGAGATCAACAGTCAGTTCCAGATTGTCATGTCATTGACTGTCCAGACTAGAGAGTTGGAGATAGCTTTGATCCACAGTCCTTGCGAGTCTAGACAGCCACAGGGGTACCACAGTGATTGACAGTCAACGCCTGTTCCTGTTCCTTCAGTTCCAGGCAGTCATATCATTGACTGTCCTGGCTAGAGAGTTCCAGATGGTCATGTCATCGACTGTCCAAACCAGACAGACCCAGACAGTATTATAGTTGGCTGTCGTGACAGTCAGTTCCAGACGGTCACACACTGGTTGACCAATCAGAGCAGCTGCCCCTCACACAGTGCACAACGGGTCAGGTCCGCGGCCAGCCAGGTAATGTCTGCAAGAAGACACATGTACAATGGAGATTACCCACATTCAGTTTGTTTTCGTTTAGCAATATTACGGCCATGTTACAGTAGCCTCTAAATATTTAAGTCTGACCAGACACTCCAGTTGTCGACATTGTTAGCAATGATCAAATATCATAGAGGTACAGTTATGTGACTGTGAAATTTAGCATTAAACATTGTTGTAATTGCAATTATCGGGCCGAGCTGTAGATGCATCCTGGGTACTAGTGGAGATTTATCGGAATTTTGTATACCCTGGAGATTACTGAGGATGATTTACACCCTGATGTCATAATATCAACTAGCACATTATTAGACTTGAGAAAACCATTGTACCTTTCAGTTGCTCCAGTTGATGGCAGCAGTCAAACAAGGGAGATAGGGAAACTGTCATGACATGTCTGGCACTTCCTGTATGGAATCTGGTCACATGGCAGCAATGTCACCAGATTCAGCATGCCCTAAAGTTAATCCGTCACTGATACAGGAAACTGTCATGAATGTTGAAACTATGGACCAAGCATTCAAAGCTTACCACTGAATAGATCAGAAGACACGGGTTCATATATCCTGTACCACAATGGAAAATACACTGGTGTCCCCTGATTCATACTGGAAGTTTGGCATAAAACCATACTCACTCACTTCACATTCAAAGAATTCTTTAGTTCTAAATTGATCATAACCATGGCCAGTTGATTATAAAAGAAGCTAGCTGAGAGTCACTCTGTCAATATCCAAACAACTGAAAGAGCCAAGAAAGGCAGCAATAATAAAGGGTGGTGGGGCAGTGGGACAATAGGTTAATGTGTTCGCTTGTCATGCTTGTCCAGGTTCAATTCCTCACATGGTGTACAATGTGTTAAATATGTTTCTGGTGTCCCCTGTCGTGATATTGCTGGAATATTGCTGAAAGCAGCATTACGTGTACCATACTCACTCACTTACTTTGGATGAAAGCTAGTTAGCATGGCATGAATATTAAAAAACAATGTATAGCCACAGGGCTCTATACGCAGCTGAGTCATAAATATATGATGGTGACCATGTTTAAAATCTAAATGGAATTCTGTGTGAAAATTTAGACATAGGTTGGATCATTTCTACAATGCACATTTGAAAATGTAAAGTTAACAATGAACAGAGAAACTGACAGTAGACCACAACATAAGCTAACAGAGTGTGTTATGGAACTATGACAGCCAAATACTTACCAAATGTATGCCCATTGACACATTTACAGCTTGAGTGATCCATCTGGAGACCTGCTTATGTTAAGGTTAACTGATGATTGCTTAAGTCTCACCATTCCCAAGAGAGACAAGCATGGGTAGCTGGAGACTAGTCTCACCATTCCCAAGAGAGACAAGCACGGGTAGCTGGAGACTAGTCTCACCATTCCCAAGGGAGACAAGCATGGGTAGCTGGAGACTAGTCTCACCATTCCCAAGAGAGACAAGCACGGGTAGCTGGAGACTAGTCTCACCATTCCCAAGGGAGGTAAACATGGGTGGTGGGGACTAGTCTCACCATTCCCAAGGGAGACAAGCATGGGGTGCTGGGGAATAGTCTCATGGGGAGCTGGGGTGTTGGGGACTAGTCTCACCATTCCCAAGGGAGGTAAGCATGGGGTGCTGGGGACTAGTCTCACCATTCCCAAGGGAGGTAAAGGGTGCTGGGGACTAGTCTCACCATTCCCAAGCTGGAGAGACTAGTCTCACCATTCCCAAGGGAGACAAACATGGGGTGCTGGGGACTAGTCTCACCATTCCCAAGGGAGGTAAACATGGGGTGCTGGGGACTAGTCTCACCATTCCCAAGGGAGGTAAGCATCGGGTGCTGGGGACTAGTCTCACCATTCCCAAGAGAGACAAGCACAGTAGCTGGAGACTAGTCTCACCATTCACAAGGGAGACAAACATGGGGTGCTGGGGACTAGTCTCACCATTCCCAAGGGAGGTAAACATGGGGTGCTGGGGACTAGTCTCACCATTCCCAAGGGAGGCAAGCATGGGGTGGTGAGGACTAGTCTCACCATTCCCAAGGGAGGCAAGCATGGGGTGCTGGGGACTAGTCTCACCATTCCCAAGGGAGGTAAGCATGGGGTGCTGGGGACTAGTCTCACCATTCCCAAGGGAGGTAAGCATGGGGGTGCTGGGGACTAGTCTCACCATTCCCAAGGGAGGCAAGCATGGGGTGTTGGGGACTAGTCTCACCATTCCCAAGGGAGGCAAGCATGGGGTGCTGGGGACTAGTCTCACCATTCCCAAGGGGAGGTAAGCATGGGGTGCTGGGGACTAGTCTCACCATTCCCAAGGGAGGTAATGCATGGGGTGCTGGGGACTAGTCTCACCATTCCCAAGGGAGGTAAGCATGGGGCTGGAGACTAGTCTCTGGGAGACAAGCATGGGTAGCTGGAGACTAGTCTCACCATTCCCAAGAGAGACAAGCACGGGTAGCTGGAGACTAGTCTCACCATTCCCAAGGGAGGTAAACATGGGTGGTGGGGACTAGTCTCACCATTCCCAAGGGAGACAAGCATGGGGTGCTGGGGAATAGTCTCACCATTCCCAAGGGAGGCAAGCATGGGGTGTTGGGGACTAGTCTCACCATTCCCAAGGGAGGTAAGCATGGGGTGCTGGGGACTAGTCTCACCATTCCCAAGGGAGGTAAGCATCGGGTGCTGGGGACTAGTCTCACCATTCCCAAGAGAGACAAGCACGGTAGCTGGAGACTAGTCTCACCATTCCCAAGGGAGACAAACATGGGGTGCTGGGGACTAGTCTCACCATTCCCAAGGGAGGTAAACATGGGGTGCTGGGGACTAGTCTCACCATTCCCAAGGGAGGTAAGCATCGGGTGCTGGGGACTAGTCTCACCATTCCCAAGAGAGACAAGCACAGTAGCTGGAGACTAGTCTCACCATTCACAAGGGAGACAAACATGGGGTGCTGGGGACTAGTCTCACCATTCCCAAGGGAGGTAAACATGGGGTGCTGGGGTCTAGTCTCACCATTCCCATGGGAGGTAAACATGGGGTGCTGGGGACTAGTCTCACCATTCCCAAGGGAGGTAAGCATGGGGTGCTGGGGACTAGTCTCACCATTCCCAAGGGAGGTAAGCATGGGGTGCTGGGGACTAGTCTCACCATTCCCAAGGGGAGGTAAGCATGGGGTGCTGGGGACTAGTCTCACCATTCCCAAGGGAGGTAAGCATGGGGTGCTGGGGACTAGTCTCACCATTCCCAAGGGAGGTAAGCATGGGGTGCTGGGGACTAGTCTCACCATTCCCAAGGGAGGTAAGCATGGGGTGCTGGGGACTAGTCTCACCATTCCCAAGGGGAGGTGCATGGGGTGCTGGGGACTAGTCTCACCATTCCCAAGGGAGGTAAGCATGGGGTGCTGGGGACTAGTCTCACCATTCCCAAGGGAGGTAAGCATGGGGTGCTGGAGACTAGTCTCACCATTCCCAAGGGAGGTAAGCAAGGGGGGTAAGCATGGGTGGTGGGGACTAGTCTCACCATTCCCAAGGGAGGCAAGCATGGGGTGGTGGGGACTAGTCTCACCATTCCCAAGGGAGGCAAGCATGGGGTGCTGGGGACTAGTCTCACCATTCCCAAGGGAGGTAAGCATGGGGTGCTGGGGACTAGTCTCACCATTCCCAAGGGAGGTGCAAGGGGGCATGTGAGTTGGTGGGGACTAGTCATGGGTTGCTGGGGACTAGTCTCACCATTCCCAAGGGAGGCAAGCATGGGGTGGTGGGGACTAGTCTCACCATTCCCAAGGGAGGTAAGCATGGGGTGCTGGGGACTAGTCTCACCATTCCCAAGGGAGGTAAGCATGGGGTGCTGGGGTCTAGTCTCACCATTCCCAAGGGAGGTAAGCATGGGGTGCTGGAGACTAGTCTCACCATTCCCAAGGGAGGTAAGCATGGGGTGCTGGGGTCTAGTCTCACCATTCCCAAGGGAGGTAAGCATGGGGTGCTGGGGACTAGTCTCACCATTCCCAAGGGAGGTAAGCATGGGGTGCTGGGGTCTAGTCTCACCATTCCCAAGGGAGGTAAGCATGGGGTGCTGGAGACTAGTCTCACCATTCCCAAGGGAGGTAAGCATGGGGTGCTGGGGTCTAGTCTCACTATTCCCAAGGGAGGTAAGCATGGGGTGCTGGAGACTAGTCTCAACATTCCCAAGGGAAGTAAGCATGAGGTGGTGGGGGACTAGTCTCACCATTAGGGACACCATCAGCATGGGGACACCAGCATGAGTGCTCTGGAGTGTGTCACTCAGTTCTAACAGGAGACCAAAATCAGTTGCGGGTGACCTCGACTCTCCGGAGTGGCAAGTTTTAAAAGGATATTCTGTTCACAGATGGTGCAGGTGGAAGGTGGGATGTCCATCACATGGCCCATAACTTTGATGACAGTGTCCGACTCGCCATACTTATGTAACGTCTCCTTGGTACTTTGTTCCAACCATTGGCACATGTGGGTCAAGATTCTTTGTTCTGAAGTTACATGATTACAGAAGATACAGAAAGCATAACAAAGTAAAAAACCCCTTCCACTTCAAATACCATTAGGTATCTCTCATAAATATCCCCAAGATGATATGGTATAGGTTTTGGGCTCTAAGTTGGTATATATAAATGCCTGGAATACCCAGTGCAGCACTCTAAAGTACTGTCGGAAATAGAAAAAAAACTGTTTTTAGGCTGTTACTCTGTATCCCTAAAATTTACACAATTACAAATAGCATATGTCAAAATAACCCACTTCGGCCTAACTGGGCGTTCAGTGTGATACGTAATACGAGTCCGCCCGGAGTGCGGAAGGTCGCGGGTTCGATCCCCGACCGCGTCATACCAAAAGATGTTAAAATATGGTACTTGTTGGTCCCTGCCTGGCGCTCGGCATTAATGGGTACAACAAGGACTGGTCGGCTCGGAGTCAGTATAATGTGTCTGAGTGGGGTATTCATGCTTCACTGCGGCATGGTATCTCAGTGGGCTAGCACTATAAAACCAGCTTAAGTCTGGGCTAGTACAAGCAGCCGCACATACACATACACACGCAGGCATGTCGTCATATGAGCGAAATATTCTCAAGCTTGACGTTAAACCCAATTTCACCTCACCTTACCTCACGTAATACGATATCCAGAAAAACATGTTTACTCGTAAAATCATGCAAAACTTAGAAAAAATACGAATAGCTGCTGAAAACAATAGATCAAACTATAGATGGCAATTAGGTCGCTCAGCCAGGTATGACGACGGACCATTGACTCACCTGGCATGAAATGCACGTGCTGCCTACAGGCACAAGGGGTCATCTCAAAGATATTTTGTGCTTTTTCATGTGTGTTGACTATGTCTCATCTATCGATTAACATCTTACGTGTCTTTCTTTCATAAAGTTTATGTTGTGATATGTAAAAGAGTATGATACCCGAAAACCATAGAAACGCATCGTAGTATATAGGTGGCATGACCATCCGAAGATCGACAGGACTGGATATTATTTGTAAATTGTTATGACGTGCAGTGTACCTCCCCAGTATAATTGCCCTAAAGGATTATCTTATCTTAGCTGATATCTCTATCCCCTAGCCAGACCCCAGGTTTTGCTTTTGAGACGACCCCTCCTATCTGTTTCTTTTTATAGTGACAGTGAGACTGCATGGTAGCTACATCCTTAATAGTTGTAGCATAAAAGTTATTATTTTTTACGTCAGCTATCGTTTATAATGAATCTACGTCTAATTTCAAATTGGGCATTTAAAAAGTGTCCTTTGTAATACAATATCGTCGCACACTAATTTGCATAAAGCCATGGTCTGTTCCAAATAAATCTTTTTGGACTTAGAAAAGCCGCATTGCTCATTTCTGCACTAATTTCCCCTCAGTAAAGTCCCTTTTCTCCATTTCCTATCTCTCTACCACCGAGACTGTAGTTAGGCCGAACTTAGTTTAACAGATATTTCACACTTTCACATATCAACTACATAAATTGTAGAGATAAATGAGAAAATACAGTTTTTTTCTACTTCTGACAGTACTTTAGTATATATATACATATTGATGGGGTTGTTCCTTTCAAGGTTAGTTAGGTGGAATGCTGGTCTGGAGTGAGTGAGTGAGTTTAGTTTTACGCCGCACTCAGCAATATTCCAACTATATGGTGGTGGTTTGTAAATAATTGAGTCTGGACAAGAAAATCCAGTGATCAACAGCATGAGCATCGGTCGACACAATTGGGAACCGATGACATGTGTCAACCAAGTCAGCAAGACTGACCACCCGATCCCGTTAGCCGCTCGTACGACAAGCATGGGTTACTGAAGATCAATATTCTAACCCGGATCTTCACGGGTTGCTGGCCTGGAGGTCACTTGGCAAGGTGCCTTGACCAGGGAATCTATTTTGAAGATTCAGAGACTAATTTGCAGGGGTCTCAGGTTAAAAGCAAAAGGTTTCCACAACTAGAAAATGTCAAATATTGAACACAGCATTCAACCATAAGACATGTAATATTGCACATGAACATAGACTTTTATTCAAAAACAGATTTAGAATTTCCATCCTGAAACAAATCTTTAATAGAAAAGTGTGAATCATTTGGTTTAGTCAAATGATTACATACAACATTTGATTTAACCAAACTTTCAGACAGCAGCATTCACTTGTAAACATGTATCTTCAGGGATACAGATAAGGGGCGTACAGCCATAATGTACGCCTAAAAATCAATGACGTACGACATAATATAAGATTTCAAGCGTATCATGTACGCACATAAATACCTTGTACGTCTAACATATATATAAACAGCTGAAAAGTTGTTTAATATTATAAATAACAAACCACATCACCGGTTCGCTCACACAAAAGCATGTAAGTACTCCTTCAAAATGATCAGTACACCTCCACTTGCAATATGAGGTGCAAGTACACCCACAACCTCAAAAGTTATCTGGAGCCCTGTATCTTGTTGGTATTGGTTTCAATTTGAATATATAAAGATGCAGGATTTTGAGTCCAGTAACTTCCTGCCTGACGCATGTATGCAAGATTGTATCATAAACATTTTAAGTTACTTTTTCCATGTTTCTGGACAACATTATTTTCAAATATATATTCAACATACCAAGATGTGAGAGTTTTCTTTTGCATTTGTTGACATCTTCAAATCGTTGTTTAATTAACCGACCATGAATTTCATCTGTGAACTTTTCAATGTCCTTTGAAATTGGCTCAAAACCCTGGAAGACAAACAGATTGGAACTAATGATAATACAGGATAATAGGGTGTGATACAGGATAATAGGGTGTGATACAGGATGATAGGGTGTGAAACAGGATAATAGGGTGTGATACAGGACTATAGCGTGTGATTCAGGACATCAGGGCATGATACAGGATGATAGGGTGTGATACAGGACATCAGAGCGTGATACAGGATGATAGGGTGTGATACAGGACATCAGAGCGTGATACAGGACGATAGGGTGTGATACAGGACATCAGGGCATGATACAGGATGATAGGGTGTGATACAGGACATCAGGGCATGATACAGGATGATAGGGTGTGATACAGGACATCAGAGCGTGATACAGGACGATAGGGTGTGATACAGGACATCAGGGCGTGATACAGGACCATAGCGTGTGATTCAGGACATCAGGGAATGATAAAGGATGATAGGGCATGATACAGGACAATAGAGTGTGATACAGGACAATAGAGTGTGATACAGGACATCAGGGAGTGATACAGGATGATAGGGTGTGATACAGAACACAAGAGTGTGATACAGGACATCAGGGCATGATACAGGATGATAGGGTGTGATACAGGACATCAGGGCATGATACAGGATGATAGGGTGTGATAGGATGATAGTGTGATACAGGACATCAGGGCAGGATGATAAAGGGATGATAGGGGTTGTGATACAGGACAATAGGGTGTGATACAGGACATCAGGACAATAGAGTATGATACAGGACAGGATGATAGGGTGATACAGGACATCAGGGCATGATACAGGATGATAGGGTGTGGTTGTGATACAGGATGATAGGGTGTGAACATTAGAGATAAGACGTGATACAGGACATGATAGGGTGTGATACAGGACAATAGAGTAGTATGATACAGGACATTAGGGTGTGATACAGAACACTAGAGTGTGATACAGGACATCAGGGCATGATACAGGATGATAGGGTGTGATACAGGACATTAGGGTGTGATAAAGAACATTAGAGTGTGATACAGGACATCAGGGCATGATACAAAATGACAGGGTGTGATACAGGACATCAGGGCATGATACAGGATGATAGGGTGTGATACAGAACACAAGAGTGTGATACAGGACATCAGGGCGTGATACAGGATGATAGGGTGTGATACAGGACAATAGAGTGTGATACAGGACATTAGGGTGTGATACAGAACACTAGAGTGTGATACAGGACATCAGGGCATGATACAGGATGACAGGGTGTGATACAGGACATCAGGGCATGATACAGGATGATAGGGTGTGATACAGAACACAAGAGTGTGATACAGGACATCAGGGCGTGATACAGGATGATAGGGTGTGATACAGGACAATAGAGTGTGATACAGGACATTAGGGTGTGATACAGAACACTAGGATGTGATACAAGACATCAGGGCGTGATACAGGATGATAGGGTATGATACAGGACAATAAAGTGTGATACAGGACATTAGGGTGTGATACAGAACATTAAAGTGTGATACAGGACATAAGGGCGTGATACAGGATGATAGGGAGTGATACATGACAATAGAGTGTGATACAGGACATTAGGCTGTAATACAGAACACTAGAGTGTGATACAGGACATCAGGGCATGATACAGGATGATAGGGTGTGATACAGAACACTAGAGTGTGATACAGGACATCAGGGCATGATACAGGATGACAGGGTGTGATACAGGACATCAGGGCATGATAAAGGATGATAGGGCGTGATACAGGACAATAGAGTGTGATACAGGACATCAGGGCGTTATACAGGATGATAGGGTGTGATACAGAACACTAGAGTGTGATACATGACATCAGGGCATGATAAAGGATGATAGGGCGTGATACAGAACACTAGAGTGTGATACAGGATGATAGGGTGTGATACAGAACACTAGAGTGTGATACATGACATCAGGGCATGATACAGGATGACAGGGTGTGATACAGAACACCAGGGCATGATAAAGGATGATAGGGCGTGATACAGGATGATAGAGTGTGATACAGGACATCAGGGCGTGATAAAGGATGATAGGGCGTGATACAGGATGATAGAGCGTGATACAGGACATCAGGCTGGATAAAGGATGATAGGGCGTGATACAGGATGATAGAGTGTGATACAAGACATCAGGGCGTGATACAGGATGATAGGGTGTGATACAGGACATCAGGGCGTGATACAGGATGATAGGGCGTGATACAGAATGATAGAGTGTGATACAGGACATCAGGGCATGATACAGGATGATAGGGTGTGATACAGGACATCAGAGCGTGATACAGGATGATAGGGTGTGATACAGGACATCAGACAGGATGTGATACAGGACATCAGGGCATGATACAGGATGATAGGGTGTGATACAGAACGGTAGGGTGTGATTCAGGACATAAGAGCATGATGCAGGACAACTCAGAAAAATACACACCTCTTCTTCCTCATCAACTGAGTTTCGCAGAAGGTTTTCCAAGACCAGAAATAAAAATCTGAAACCAAATTGTAATCTTTACAACATTGTTCATCTATCATCCACAGACTTGGTACATCACTCCACCTTCCATACAGGAATATGACAACATACAGGCATTGAAACCATGCAACACACTTCATTGTTTCTACACAGTTTTGCAGTTTAATGAAGACATTTCTTCACACTTACAATGAACACTTATATTTACAATTGACTAGATCAGTCTAAAGGAGTAGTGTTAGCTTGCTGATCCTCAGAGTTTGCAGCTAGCCCTGCTTTACTGATTTCTCATGAAGTCAAATCATGGAGAACTGGAAAAGTTATAAAAATTAGAAAAAACATAACCCTCAAATATGTTAATTGTCATTGAAGTCTACCATCATCAAATTACTAGCTGTACTCTGGAACACTTAGAAGTTTTTGACTAGCATTATTTTCTTTTATGAATCATTTGATATAACAAATGCCATCTCATCAAAACATATTGTCTTAATCAGTGAAACAAAATGGTCTAGGATTTGTTTCTTGAGCCTTGAGAATCCATTTGGTGGTAATTCTCACCTGTAGATCTTGAGTGCCTTCAAGGGCTGACTGTTTAGGTCGGTGATGTTGAGGCGATGTTCCTTCAGGAGGTCCAAAGGGTCGACCTCACAACATATGCTCTGTCTGTAGGCTTCAAACACGTCTCCGGCCTTACACAAGGACCCTGTAACACAATAAACATTGGGAGTGGGACCAGAAGCTGGGACAGGTTACCCAAGTACCCTGGTCAGGTAAATAATTGTCACTATCCGAGTCCTGAAAAAACTATCGGTAACTCTACCCATAGTAGCTGATAGTCTCATACATTACGTAAATTCATAGCAGGGCTCGATTTAGTGCTTTGCTACTTGCACTGATGCAACCCAATGTTACAAACTGCAACCTAGTTATTTGTCTAACTTGCACCAGGTGCAAGTCAATTTTTGAGAAATAAATCAACAATAAATCTAACATTATAAGCATAATTATGTCAGCTCATTTTTCTTCTAAACATTGAATAATTCAATAGCATATTTCTTTCATTACATTTTGCAAAAAGAGCAGTGCAGCTAGAATTTGGCAGGTGCAACTAGGTTTTTATCTCAGGTTGCACCTGGTGCAAGTAGGTTAACATCTTTTAAATAGAGCCCTGCATAGGACCAAAATAATCAACCAAAATTTCGGTTTATATTCGTTCTTCAATCCCATAAATCGCTCATTCTGTATAAGCATTGTGTTACATTGCTGGTGATAAGTACCAGTTGCACTTGGTTCTCTGTGTGAAATAAAACCAAACGCCACCTTTTCAGTTTCAGTCACCAGGACTGTCAGTTACCTGTAACTCAAATTAAAAGCTGTAACACGTACCCAAGGTAGCATTCCCCGGGTAGAAAATTGCTGCCTGTCCCTGCCCAACTTGGATCTGTCCAAGTGACAGCAGAGTACTATCTACTTCCTTATCTTAATTTCAGTAACATCATTGTCATGGACACCAGAAAATGGCTTCACATATTTAATCCCCAAGAGGATAAGTACCCATGTCTTTGGCATGACAATTGAATGCTGTATCCTGATTACTACCTCTCCATTCATGACTGTCCTAAATAACAGGCCAACATTGAGGGAAATTGTGTGAGTAGTCGGGCACTGAGGAGTATCAACACCGTACCTGCATACTCATGGATGATTTCCTTCTCTTCCACGTGAATGACTTGAAGCTGATGAAAGAAAATACTGAATAAAGCATCAGTGTCTATACATGTGAAAGGCAAGATGGTGCATTTGCTGTTTAACACTGCACCCATCAATATTCCAGCTATATGACGACGGTCTGAAAATCATCAAGTTGAGACCAGACAATCCAGTGATTGATATTATCAGCAACTTTCCACACCAACTATGATGCTTCAACAACTGCACTCATCAATATTCCAGCTATATGACGACGGTCTGAAAATCATCAAGTTGAGACCAGACAATCCAGTGATTGATATTATCAGCAACTTTCCACACCAACTATGATGCTTCAACAACTAACTGAGTCTGACAACCCAATCCACTAAATCACCTCCTTCGAACAGCATATTTTTCTGGGACCTATTATAACCTTAATCCTTATGGGTGTTTACTTTCAGACGAGTGAGTGAGTGAGTTTAGTTTTACGCCACACTTAGCAATATTCAAGTTGTATGGCTGTGGTATGTAAATAAATCGAGTCTGGACCAGACAATCCAGTGATCAATAGCTTGAGCATCGATCTAGGCAAGTGGGATACAATGACATGAGTCAACCAAGTTATATTTCAGACAATAGAGGAAATCAGTTTAACTGAAACTGAATGTGTCTATTTTGACTGTACTCTATAACCCAATCAGTTTATACTACATAAACTCTGTACACTGTGCTGGTACCCTTGTCAGTGCTACATGATCTGACAATGACACACAACATGGTCCTGAGATGGTTCTCAATCACCTGGACAGTCAGCTTACCTTTACTGGTTCTCTCATTTCTAAATGGCAGAACCTGGACGATGGTCTGAAATCACATCAAAAAGAATTAAGGAACTTGATGACCATGGCTGAATTTCTGTTGTTGACCTACCAGAGTGAGTGAGTGAATATGGTTTTACGCCGCTATCAGCAATATTCCAGCAATATCACGGCGGGGGACACCGGAAATGGGCTTCACACACTGTACCCATGTGGGGAATCGAACCATGGGGACTCATCGGCATGGATCGAGCTGGATTTACACCATCCTTTCAGCGCTTTTAACCACTAGAAGAGATGATGTGATATGATATATGATATGATATATGATATTGTATAGAAGAGATGATGTGGTGTGATGTGATATTGTATAGAAGAGATGATGTGGTGTGATGTGTGACGCGAAGGCGAAAAGAAACGACTCTTCAGATTTTACATTTCATTGCATGGTCTGCCATATTTGGTACTTGTTTCTTTATTTCACAATAAAACAGCACACAATTCATGGTCAACAAATACCACGTCACGGCTGGAAGCAAGGTCTGAAGACTCACGTGAAGACTGCCGCACAGAATGAGCCATTCAGAGACAAGGACGTGCCATGGCAGCTCCAGGAATACTTATCGTCTTTAGGAAATGGTAGCAAGCTGGTATCAACCACAATTTCTGTAATAACAGCAAGAGTGAATCACCATCAACATCCAAACCAAAAATGAATACACAATGTCATTTGGAAAGTGGTCAAATTCTTGTACTAGAATCTGTACTTCACTGAGAAAGTGTAATTCCAAATATGGCACCAGAAATGAGTTTCACACATGGTATTGAACACACGGCTTCAGCTTGACATGCAAACACTTTAACCACTGGGCTACCCAACCAGCTCTATAACAAAATGAGTGAATGAGTGGTGGTAGAGAAACGAGGGTTAACGGCACTATTTGACACCACACTTCTCTAAAACTAAATATGTAATTTTTCAAGTAAAATTGATATTTTTATACTTATCCTGACTCATGATCTTTTGCTTATCTCCCTTATCTTTTCAAATGGTAGTGGAACACTTGAATCCCTTGAAGTTCCCAAAGCGGACGTAAAAATACACTCACCCACGAGTTACCTCCCTTTTTGCCATTTCCCGCGCAAACAAGTCATGTGACCAGCCTTACTTATCACTTTCTCCTGATATTTCTGCCCATGCACTTGGATCTGCTGTAAAATCCGACGTGCTTCCAGCGGGGAGGTTAGGAGGGCTTCTTGTCATGAGTCAGGATAAGTATAAAAATATCAATTTTACTTGAAAAATTACATATTTTAACTTATCCTGACTCATGATCTTTTGCTTATAGAATCTGACGGATTGGTGGTGGGTCAAGCCACTTCGTGGATTCATCAGCTGTCCTTAGATACGTCTTGTATCCCCCATGGGAACTGCGAAACGGCATTTCCGTGATCCTATTCTTCCAACTTCCGTTATAACTCTGGGGGACCACTTTCTTGTCTTACTTCAGTCTCAGACAAGTTGAATCATGTTGATTCATGTGGCTACAGATAAACTAGTATCTTCTTATTACTAGATATCTTATAACAACCCATAGATTATCATAAGATCTTTATCATAAATGAGTTGCTAACCCTTCACGTACAGGTAAGATCTTTACCCGTACAGGATCTTTAATCACTCATGCTAGCCTGTCCTACACTGTGCACATGCACTTTTAAACTAATACTTTTCCTTAGTAAAAGTTATCAACAAGTCAACGTGATAAAGGGTGAGATTTTCCAACTCAACGCCTTTGTGGAACCGTTAGTTGCTGTGCAACAACGAGAGGACCAAATTGGTGAATGCCTGAGACGTCTTCAGTGGCTATGTCTCGGAGGTAGTGGTTGGCAAACACCGTGTCCGACTTCGAAAAGCAGCCCTCCATAATTGTAGATATAGAGCAATTTCCATGCAGAGCCAGTGTTGACGCCAGTGCTCTGACTTCATGTGGGTTGGAAGCTCTAGGAGGTTCTAGTCCTGCTGCTTTATAGGCTCTCAATATGACGGTTCTCATCCAGAACGATATCGTCGTTCTTGAGACTTCTGCTGATGTCTCTGTGGATAATGGGATGAACAGGTGCTTGAATTTTCGTCTCCTTGTCTCAGTCTTTTGAAAAGATATCTTAACGGAAGATATTCCAAACGGAAGGACGTTCCATTGGAAATGCTGCCCTCTGAATATGAATCGTAGATCCTTTCTTGATTCCAGATGTATGGGGATGTGTAGGTACGCATCCTGCAGGTCTATGCTGGCCAAGTAATCTGCTGGACGGACGAGTAGTCTGAGTTGAGGTAGGTGGATCATTCTGAACCTCTCTGGTTTCAGCAGATAGTCTTTGTTGAATTTGCGCATGTTGTAAATCAGTCTGAACTTCCAGACTGCCCCTGGAACGTACTCAACATAGCACCAGTATTATGAATTTCAGCAGTAGCAAGCAACATACGGTTTGCAGGCTGATCTCCTGTTTTATCAGCCGTCACTTGAGATGACTTCCTCACCCGATCCATGGCACGTCTATAGATATAAGACAAATATTGATTAAATTGTAGATTTGATAAATCAACACAATAAGTACAGCGCAAGCTGGAAGAACATGGTTTTATGCACGAAGGGCATTGGGGGTGAGGATCAGCCAAGGATAACCTGTGCCTGCAAACACTGCAAGATTTCATGAAATGTAAACAAAGTTACATGACGATGAAAGTATGACACAAATACAAATAAGTTTTACAATTTTTTTACATATAATACAAAGTAGTTATTGCCAAATCCATACACAGCGTAATTTTGAAGAATAGGACCTAAATAAAAAGGATATAATGCCGTATATGAGACTCCAGTGCTCGCCCAAACATCCACTTGGGCGAAAAGGGATAGAGTGACAAGTAAGGCTGGTCACATGACTGTTTGCGCGGGAAAGGGCAAAAGGGAGGTAACTCGTGGGTGAGTGTATTTTTATGTCTGCTTCAGGAACTTCAAGGGATTCAAGTGTTCCACTACCATTCGAAAAGAAAAGGGAGATAAGCAAAAGATCAGGAGTCAGGATGAGAAAAAATAATGCATTTCTCTCAATAATACTATCAGTTGTTATTACATAAGCTACCACATAATTTATTCCAAAAAGAATTGCGTATTTAGATTACGTATTTAGAATTAAAATGTTCGAATGAATTAATGCAATGCTGCATTAAATCAACTCTTGTGCCCTCTACCAGCCGAACATAATTTCAAGCTAACCCCATAGAGTTAGAATAGAGTAGGAATATTATACGTGCAACTTGTGATTGAAGCCAGTTCGGCAAACACCGACAACACTGCATGCGACAGTTTTCAATGTACGGAGCAATTGTTTACATTCCTTATATGGCAAGTGTTCTCTGTTTGGAAGCTGTTCGCCTCAAAGTTTCAGTTATCACTTTCAGGAAAATCATAAGAGATAATAAGTCTCTTATTGCATCAGTAGGAAGCTAAAGTGAGTGCATATGCCCCAATATATATAATATAGGCCAAAATATTGTCAAGAATGTGTGAAATTTCGCCTTTAAGAGAAAACTGTGACATAGTCTGTTCGTGTAGCAGGGTGCTGTGAACAAAACAACCTTAGTGCTAAGACTATCTGAAGTCAATATTAAAGTATGGGAGTAACAGTCACCTTAGTGCAAAGATCACTTTGTACAACAGTACCCTGGTTATTATCTAAAACCGGTTAGATTACTGAAATACGGCCATCATATATCACACCTAAAGAGACTGTCATTGGGTACTATGCACCTACTTACAGTGACAATCACGTTGAACTGGGGACCTATCTTGTCTCAGAATCCTACATTATGCAGCGTCACAACATGTTACAATGAGTGAGTGAGTGAGTTTAGCAATATTTCAGCAATATCGCGGCGGGGGACACCAGAAATAAGCTTCACACATTGTACCCACTTGGGAATCGAACCCAGGTCTTCGGCGTGACGAGCGAACGATTTAACCACTAGGCTACCCACTGACCCTGTTACAATGAAACCAGCCTACCTCCACTTTTGTTCCTCATCTCAGTGACCATGACCTTCTGTACTACTCCGTCTGCAGAGCCGAGGACTGTGATACTGTCATGACTGGCTAGACCTACAAAACAGACGACACGACACTTTCCCTCAAACTGCAATCACAACAAAGCCCTTAATGTACACGCTAGCACAAGGTTACAAAAACTGTGCTGAACAATGATAGTCATCCCTGACTTGTAGCATACCTGTAGAAAATTAGACATGGGTTCTATGTGACGTAAAATTTTAACTCACTCCATTCCATAGAGTTAGCTCTGATCATCTTAATGCTGAAATTGTTTCGTTGCATGGGACACAGACACTTAAGTGATTGATGTATGTGCAACCTACCGGTGCCTGCCATCCAGTGACTTCCTGTTGCTGTGGCCTTCTGGGAAAAAGACAGTTTGTTGTCTACTTTAACGCTGTGAATCAATAAATATTGTTCCTTGCTGGATATCAGTATAAAACCATCCTGCAAAGAGAGTGGAAAGTGAGTGTACTGGAGTTAATGCCTCTTTGAACAATCCTTAGATAAGGTCATAGAAGCATTCATGGGTTTCATTTCATGTTGTCTTTTTAGTCTGAAAGTCTTTTAGTAGCACAATTTTAATTTATGAGAAAAAGCCCCTAAGAGAAAGTCCTAAAGCACTCAACAACATAAAGCACATCAAGTTTAATGACTTCATTTCTGGACTGTAAAAACACATTTTTAATGTAATAATAATAATAATAATAAGAGTACTTTTATAGCGCCTCATCCACATCACCCAGGGACATGCTCTAAGCGCATAACATATATACAGGTTCTATGTACAGGAAAGTTGACGTCATAGATATTTCTTGAAGAGGTGAGTTTTGAGCTTGGACTTAAAGACTGGGAGTGATGGAGAGGTTTTAAGATCCGATGGTAGAGAGTTCCAGAGAGTGGCAGCAGCATGAGAAAATGAATTTGCACCAAAGGTTTTGAGTTTGCACACAGGAACAACTAGCAAGAGTTGATCGCTGGAGCGGAGAGATCTTTCAGGTTTGTACAGTTTTATCAAATCATGGAGGTATGCTGGACCAATGCTATTAACAGACTGATAAACAAGGGAGAGCAGTTTAAATTCAATCCTCTCGCGGATCCGGAGCCAGTGAAGAGAATTGAGAGCTGGCGTAATATGAGAGCATAGCTTTGTCCTTGTGACGATGCGAGCAGCCTGATTCTGTATTTTCTGGAGGCGCATGTAACACAGCTTCAAAACAGAAAAGGGGGCAGTGGGGTAGCCTAGTGGTTAAAGTGTTTGCTCGTCACACGAAGATCCTGGTCTTATTTCCCCACATGGGTATAATATGTGAAGCCCATTTTCGGTGTTCCCTGTCATGATATTGCTAAAAGCAGCATAAAACTAAACTCACTCACTCACATAAATGCTTCTAGTTACCATAAAAATAATTGCAAAAACCCTAATTTCTGTCGTTCACATGCCTGATAGTATCTACGTGAAAACATTGGGAGCTATCTGTTGCTTGCTCAGAAGCCTGATGTTGCTTATTCATAGTAAAGCCGCCCTAGAAATGACCATTCCAATGACCCTAACCTTCAGAAAAGGTTTCAATGCTCCACTTTTAACAACGGTCCCAAATTTTCTCCTACTTCAGCATCTTGAGCTATTGTAGCCTTGTTAATGTCTACACAGAACGTCAATTCAACTGTTAATATTAATGGACAGAAAATACTGTGTGGCAATACACAATGCCATTTAGAAAGTGGTCAAATGTAACATGTTATATTTGGGATTACACTTTCTTAGTAAAGTACAACTTCTAGTTCTTTTGGGGTTGAGTCCCATCTGGATGCATCTTCGGCTCAGCCCGATAATTGTATTACTTCCCTTTGCTGGCTCCGCCTTCTCAACTGAGCTTGCCAGTGTCAACAAAGATGGCGGATACAGGCATTAAGGTTTGCTCGCTGTTACACAGAAACAAATCAGACAAATTGACATGTCTGAAACCTTCAAAAAATATGTGCAATAATTCCTTCTACCTCTTTCAAGGTACCTCTGCAACAATTGTGTTGCCAAGTTTAATAGGTTAGATAAAAGAAGCGGAATGAGTTATGACAGAAGCCTTGAGATTGGTACACTCAACTTCCCAGTGTAGACACCTGATTGGATAAAAAGCCAGCAAAGGGAGGTAATACAATTATCAGGCCGAGTCGTAGATGCATCCAGTGCACTTTTGGAGCTTATCGAGGATGGGGTTAGTATTGGTCTTCAGTAACCTATGCTTGTTGTAAGAAGCGACCAACATAATCGGGTGGTCAGGCTAGCTGACTTGGTTGCCACATGTCATCGCACCCCAAATGCATAGATTGATGCTCATGCTGTTAATTACTGGATTGTCTGGTTCAGACTCGATTATTTACAGACTGTCGCCATATAGCTGGAATATTGCTGAGTACGGCATTAAACAACAACCCAAACAAACCAATCATATCAAAGGCCTTTAACTCATTCGCAGAACACATAGTTTTAAAATTACTTTATCTCTTCTGTGTAAGTAGAGAGGCAAAATGGACTGTTAATTATCATAAGGAAAGAATAACAATCACATTTTCGTTTCCTTAGAAACGTGTTCCAGTATTTGTATACACTTGTAGTTTAAACAGAAGATCATGTCATGCTGTTGTTAGTACTCACATTCAGTTTCTTCCAGCACATGCAGGAGACTCGAAGATCATCCATCTCCCCGTAGAGGCATGCTGGTCTGACCGACACCTCCTCCCCTCCTCCGATAGTCAGGTCCATCAGGTGAATCACTCCACTGTTGTAACCAACCGCTAAAACAGCTGAAACGCAAATTTACCTTCCTGATTTATTCAGGCTTCCATGGAGATATTGCAACAAAGAATTGCCTCATAATACTTTTCTGACCATTGGGATGTTACTATGACTTCCTGATCAAAAGGCATCACTTGCCTCTCTGCGACTAAAGCCAGTTAGTTCTACAGTTTTCAATCACGGTAGCTGATAATCATGGGTACAACCTGATATTGCTGAAAAATTATTTTGGAATCTCCCCATCAAATCTTTTGATATAAAAAAACCCCTTGTCAATAACAGGGTTTTACACAGACTTTTAAACATGTGAGTCATGGTGACTCACAATATCTATTTTTGGGAGTTATTTTCAATATTTGAGAGTCATGAAAATTTTAATATTTCTTTGGGTTAATCATTCTCAGTATGTAACTGTGTATGTCACACCACCAAATGAAACTACAGCATTGTTCAATTCAAACAGCCAGGATTACTGTCTCCTCTGAGTTCTCTGGAATAATCTGACAGCTCTGTAAAAAGTCAAACTATCATTGAACAATATCATTTTTTGCTTATCAAATCGATTTTATTGAACTGAATTGTGAGGGCCACCCATAAAACTTGCGTGAAGCTTGACTCATATGATAATATTTTGAGAGTTGTTTGCAAAATTGTTACATCAAATACGCAGGAATCACGCGTCATGTAAAACCCTTCAATAAAAGAGCCCTTAAACAATTTGACTACCTCCTCGTCCAACAGAATTTCAGAAACAATGGCAGTAATCATTACTCCATGACATCTCTCCGTGTGTACAAGGTGTAACCATGGCAACCATTACCTCGTTTGTCCTGTCCCAGCTGTCGGCACCAGGACACGGACGTGGGGATGCTAGTGTGAAGGGAGAGAACTCTCACAACTTTACAGTCTTCACTGAAACGAAATGGAGCTTACACTTTGAGATGTTAACACAGAGAAATTGCACTGGGAGCAAAACATTTGTTTCTAATCAGCTTGATATAAATAATACATTATATAATAATTTAATGTTCCATACATTGCAGAGCTCCAGATAAGATTTAGCTCATGTGGGTACTGTACCCACTGTATTGTTTTGGAGTGGGTATTATGAATGTTGAGTGGGTATTTCATTTTCCGTTACCCACTGCTTTCAAATATGTGCGTATTTCAGTCATTTTACCCACTTAAGTATATGTCATTGAATAAGTTTGCTAAGCAGGTATACCTAATCAAAACCAACTTTAATATAATGGAAATGATTTCATAAAAAATCACTCATCCTATACTAACAGTACAACTTGATAGCAATCGATGTCTTTTTCATTACGCAAGCGATTTTTATAAATATATTCCGACGCATTTGTTTTAAACTTTTTGCGTATCTAACATTCTAAATGCGTAATTGGTACGCAACAATTATTTTTTCAATGTGTAATTGGAAATTTTCTATGCGTATTTTACCCGGATACGCAGCTTATCTGGGCCTCTGCATTGTAAAATATCCATCATGAATATATTGACGTTATATTCCATATATTGAGATATGGTCAGATTGAAATTTGGATTCAAGCATTCCACATGCAAAACAACGATTCAACTACAACAAAAATCATCTGTTTTTATCAGTCACAAGATACTAAAATGTGAAGACTGGAAATCTTACGGTTCTAAACAGGGCAAGTGAATCTTCCACAACACAACATCTCCGTTCTTCATGCAGACGGCCAGCAGGGAGAAGTGGCCTTCACCTTGGCTACCTTGGTAACAGTCAGACCAAGAAAGTTCTGGGCACAAAAACAAAAGTCATGAAGCAATAGTTAAAATAGTGATTTTATCTCATGTAAGTTTATCCAAGCCAGAAAACAATTGGAACAATTCTGATTGATGTAAAGTGCTGTGTGTAAAATATTGCAATGCAAATCATACAACATTCTGTACAATATGATTCAACTGCACAGTGACTTATAGCACTTTTCGATGGTCCTAAACTAAGAAATAGTCACTGAAATACATTATATACAGCTTAAATAATAACAATTTTATATGGAACCCCATGAGTGTGAAGGTTTTCTCTAGTCAACAGTTGAGGATGGGATTAGTTTAAGCAGCAAGAGCCGAGAAGGTGATGTCAGTGATTGTTTCATGAAATACAAGCTCTGGGGTCTGCCTCACAGAACTAGACAGATTTTGAGGGAAAGGAGACAGGAAACTTTGCCTCTCTAGGACACATACTCCACCTACCCATCGCCGCCAACTTGTATGTCTGTTCCCGGAGAGCACTGAAGGTGAGATCACCAGGAAGTGGATTTTTGGCAGCATAGATTTGAGACAGATCTGCTACCTGTAACCATGGCAATAACAAATGATAAACACTTGATTGAGCCTGTTTTACTCTGCTGTTAGTCCAACCTCAGTAACATGGAGTGCTATGGAAAATCATTAAAGTTTCAGAATTTCATCTGACTAGGAACAGAATACCAGTCACCAGATAATCTAATATCCACCATAACACATCTATGACTAACTTAATGTCCATGCCTGGTAACCATAGTAAAAACTGTTACTCCACCTTCCATATTCAACATGATATTAGGCTTAGAAAATCAATGTTTACTAAAGCTGAAAACAAAATAAAATTGTGGTCTGACATGGAATGGTAGAAAACAGATTTAGTTCAATTGTTCATGAAAATTGACATGTAAATCTTCACTGTCATTTGTGAGATGTAAATGGAGCTCTCATTGGTCAGGACAGTCTGGTGAATCCCTCCATCTGGAACCAGGCCTATACTTGGTTTGAAAGAGCTGCTACACAACAAAATGGATTTATTTATTCATAGTGGTTGGATTAAAGTTTCGCATTCAAAATCATGAAGTGCTAACATTGTAACTCACCACTGACCACGTTTTCTTGGTGCCTCTTGTGGTGTGGATACACACCTGGTGGTCATGTGACACACTCGCCAACACACACCTGTAGGAAAACAATCCAGTCTAACAGAACACTTTCATTATTACAGGTAAGTGAGAATCAAGATGATGGTGAGATGAAGCAAAGCCCATGTAACATTCCCAAAAGTAAGGTGTGCACTTGGGTATAATGGCAGTACACAACAACAGCAAAATTCTCATCTTATACATGTTATAACTCAACAAGCCTACAAGTTGTTTAGAAGTTGTACAAAATTGTATGCTATATTACAGGGCTCGATTTAGTGCTTTGTTACTTGCACTGGTGCAACCCAATATTACAAAGTGCAACCTAGTTATTAGTCTAACTTGCACCAGGTGCAAGTCAATTTTTGGGTGGTAAACGTCTGAATAGAACATCTAAATAATTCAATAGCATATTTCTGATATTACATATTGCAATAAAAACAGTGTAACTGGAATTTGACTGGTGCAACTAGGTTTATATCTAAGGTTGCACCTGGTGGGTTAAGTGGGTTAACATCTCTTAAATCGAGCCCTGTATTATCATCAGGTTGGCCCTGAGACAGAATTATGAATTAAAATAAAATGCAGATCAATTCAAAATGCTCAAAATGCTTTAGTATCTTGACGAAATGTTTTTTGATTTTCAATTACAAGTTACTGTTTTGTGTTAAAGGTTAGACATTACATACTAAAGTGATTAATCAAACTGTGCATCAAATGTCAGTACAAAATCCTAGCATGGAATCACAACTTACCAAGCTTATGTTACTTAATATAGCAGGGTTTCACTTTGACTTACAAACGTGGGGTCTGGAGGGTCCCCAATACCATATTCTTTGAGTGGCATATTTAGTTGGTGAATCAGATAAGGACAAATAAAGAATAAAGAAGTTGTTCATCCATAAACTTTGTCCTTATCTGAATACTATAATTACATTAAATAACTGAATTTCATTGAAGGACAAATAGAAAAGAAAAGGCTTTTCTGAACTGAATGATTTTTAAGCTTTTAAGAACTATAAAAAATCCACTTATGCAGAAATGATGATTTTCCCAAATTTTCCTGCCAAGTGCACTGGATTGATATTTCGACAAATTACCAGCTGACTATGTCCCCTCCTATAGATGGCACTATTACCAGCTGACTATGTCCCCTCCTATAGATGGCACTATTACCTGCTGACTATGTCCCCTCCTATAGATGGCACTATTACCTGCTGACTATGTCCCCTCCTATAGATGGCACTATTACCTGCTGACTATGTCCCCTCCTATAGATGGCACTATTACCTGCTGACTGTCCCCTCCTATAGATGGCACTATTACCTGCTGACTCATGTCCCTCCTATAGATGGCACTATTACCTGCTGACTATGTCCCTCCTATAGATGGCACTATTACCTGCTGACTATGTCCCCTCTATAGATGGCACTATTACCTGCTGACTATGTCCCTCCTATAGATGGCACTATTACCTGCTGACTATGTCCCTCCTATAGATGGCACTATTACCTGCTGACTATGTCCCTCCTATAGATGGCACTATTACCTGCTGACTATGTCCCCTCCTATAGATGGCACTATTACCTGCTGACTATGTCCCCTCCTATAGATGGCACTATTACCTGCTGACTATATCCCCTCCTATAGATGGCACTATTACCAGCTGACTATGTCCCCTCCTATAGATGGCACTATTACCTGCTGACTATGTCCCCTCCTATAGATGGCACTATTACCTGCTGACTATGTCCCCTCCTATAGATGGCACTATTACCATATATGACCGACTATAAGTCGGAAATTTGATACCAGAAAATGAAGGTAAAAAATCAGACCCGACTTATACTTGAGTTCATTAATCTACCCCAAAAAAACCGAGGTCAGGTGTGTGAATCTGCGAACTCAACTGGCAATGTTTACACCGGAAGCAGGGCGCATATACGTACTGGCAACGTTTCCAAAGGTAAATGACATCGTGGGACAAATAAAACATAAAATATGAAACTTTGTTGTTTGTCTTTTGTAAAATATATTTCATAGTATAAACAATAAATTAAATTTAATCAGATATTTTTATCACAGCTATGCACTTACCGATACTTTGTTATCGCTACGATAAAGTTGGGCCAATGCGACACCTACTTTTTCCGTGAAAAGTCAACTTATTTGTATTCTGTGGCAGTTTTGTGGTGGTTTTGAAAATACTGTTAATGATGAAAATGCAAGTTTACATTTATATCCAGATAAACCACTTAAGGAAGCAAAACTATAGCCGCATTTTTTCCATTTGTGACATGTCATAAAATGCCCGTAATCTCCTCTTTCTTTTATATTTTCATTTCACGTGATCAGAAAAATTATTATAAAAGATTTCTTAAAAATATGTATGGTCAGCCATTTCCCGATATCAGTGGCTTTTCGCTTCGCAACATGACACAACAGCTAAAAATAATTGCTCCGCTTAGATGAATAACATGCGAGGCTTAATCGCTTGATGTCGGGCATCGCTCGAAGGCTCTGAACATCAACAATATCACTGTACCCTTGCCGAGAGTATTTTTCACACTTGTAAGAAGCAATTTTATTGGATAAAAATTGGTTTCTAATGACGCTTTTTCGCCACAGTCTGCTATAAGGGTCGTGATTGGTCAAAACCAGACACGTGACCTAAGGCAGCCAATCATATTACGGCAATGGATACCTTCCTCGTAAACGAAAACTATGGATGTAGACGAAAGTTTTGGGTAAAATAATGCTATTCTGAACATATTAAGCAAGAAATCGCTACCTATACATAAATTATGGGATTTATTTGACGTACCGTGCTAGGTTATGACCTGTGACAAAAATGATTCATGCATATATTTTCGCATTAAACATCGTGGTCCGAAAGCGGAAGATTGAGGCGGCTATGATACCCCATTCGGTGACGGGAAAGGGTCCGAATTTATACTTGAGTTACATGGTTTTGGCAAGAATTTAGAGGGTTGAGAAAGGGGCCCGACTTATAGTCGGATCCGACTTATAGTCGGTCATATACGGTACCTGCTGACTATGTCCCCTCCTATAGATGGCACTATTACCAGCTGACTATGTCCCCTCCTATAGATGGCACTATTACCTGCTGACTATGTCCCCTCCTATAGATGGCACTATTACCTGCTGACTATGTCCCCTCCTATAGATTGCACTAATTCCTGCTTACTATGTCCCCTCCTATAGATGGCACTATTACCAGCTGACTATGTCCCCTCCTATAGATGGCACTATTACCTGCTGACTATGTCCCCTCCTATAGATGGCACTATTACCTGCTGACTGTCCCCTCCTATAGATGGCACTATTACCTGCTGACTATGTCCCCTCCTATAGATGGCACTATTACCTGCTGACTGTCCCCTCCTATAGATGGCACTATTACCTGCTGACTATGTCCCCTCCTATAGATGGCACTATTACCTGCTGACTATGTCCCCTCCTATAGATGGCACTATTACCTGCTGACTATGTCCCCTCCTATAGATGGCACTATTACCTGCTGACTATGTCCCCTCCTATAGATGGCACTATTACCTGCTGACTATGTCCCCTCCTATAGATGGCACTATTACCAGCTGACTGTCTCCTCCTATAGATGGCACTATTACCAGCTGACTATGTCCCCTCCTATAGATGGCACTATTACCTGCTGACTGTGTCCCCTCCTATAGATGGCACTATTACCAGCTGACTATGTCCCCTCCTATAGATGGCACTATTACCTGCTGACTATGTCCCCTCCTATAGATGGCACTATTACCTGCTGACTATGTCCCCTCCTATAGATGGCACTATTACCTGCTGACTATGTCCCTCCTATAGATGGCACTATTACCTGCTGACTATGTCCCTCCTATAGATTGCACTATGCTGACTATGTCTATTACTATTACTGCTGACTATGTCCCCTCCTATAGATGGCACTATTACCTGCTGACTATGTCCCCTCCTATAGATGGCACTATTACCTGCTGACTATGTCCCCTCCTATAGATGGCACTATTACCTGCTGACTATGTCCCCTCCTATAGATGGCACTATTACCTGCTGACTATGTCCCCTCCTATAGATGGCACTATTACCTGCTGACTATGTCCCCTCCTATAGATGGCACTATTACCTGCTGACTATGTCCCCTCCTATAGATGGCACTATTACCTGCTGACTATGTCCCCTCCTATAGATGGCACTATTACCTGCTGACTATGTCCCCTCCTATAGATGGCACTATTACCTGCTGACTATGTCCCCTCCTGTGGGTGACCAGGCCACCACCTTGTAGCCCTTGCTGGACGTCTGACATCCCGTCTTTGGACACAGTGTCCGGTCAAGCATCAGCTGATGAATCTCCTCTATCAAAACACAGCACATAGGAACATGATGGTGCTACAGATTGGTGATTGCAATAGACGGCTGTACATAGATGTTAGCATTATTAAATGTAAAACATATTTCGAGCCTGAAATCTGGGAGACATTACTTCGATCAGACAAGATGCCAACATTCAGCAACATGTCAAAAGTAAACGTAATTAAAAATTTACAAGAAGGTAACTTTCCTAATTCAAGTGGTCTAGCCTAGTAGAGACTTGAATTTCACTTGCAACAATGCCATTAAACATGACAAAGAGTAAGAGGTGTTAATGCTTTGTTTTATAACATAAATCTCATCATTTAAGATGGAAAAATCAACCATTGTGAAGTGGCAACTGTCAAAATGTGAAACAGACATGTTTCTGGAAAAACTCAAATGTCCTCTCTTTATATAAACTGATATTATTATCTATATTATACATATTGATATTATTGTGACAGGCAAAAATCTCTAACCTGTTTCCAAAGATTTGGAAAACTCCTCAAAATCAAAAGACACAAAGCTGACAGCATCTTCTTTAGGAGGAGGTATATTGGAGTGCAGAAAATGGCAAGTTGCATCTACATGTAAGGGTCTGATAGAAAGTTCCTGGAAAGCAAACCGTACACATCAACAATCTCCTTTAAATCAAATACTCGGTACCCATCTCCGTTAAGTTCTATCGTTGCAGGTAAACATTGTAAGCCGCAAAGCAGCATTGAGGTTACAAAATTTGCAGCATGAATGAGCTAATAAATTAAACTAACACATCTTATTTTTATATCCTGAAAATGAGCTACAAAGTTTGGAAGCAGAATTTTCTTATAGGATATTTATATAGCGCACATATCCAGGCAACTAGTGCATGCTCAAAGCGCTGGTATTTTTTTCCCTTGAGCATTGGATGTCAATCTCAACGGCACATCGTATTATCAATCTCAACTCCCTGGGGAGTATTCAACTTTTGCAGCCACTAGGTGCACCGAGTTATTGTGGCTTTCTCATCCTAACGAGGTACCCATTCACAGCTGGGTGGACTAGGACAACATAGTCACAGTACTTTGTCCAAGTTCACCGCACGTTGCTGTACCCGCAACTAGGTGTTTGCACGTATTCATGTGGCCACCATCTGGTCATATACCAACCAACGGATTCGTGGGTTCTTTTAAGTGCACAGGGTTGTGTACTGTACACTAGGGGTTGTGACAACACTGAAAGAGTCTGCACACAAAGTTGACTCCAAGGTTTTCACACCCGGTCACAGGTGGGCTCGAACCCAACACCTAAACCTCGCTGGATCACTAGCCTGGCACCTTAGCCAGCTCGCCCAACGCGACCCCCAATTTACAGTGCCTAAATAATTTTGCTGTGAAACGTTTATGCTCCTGACAGTGAAACATTAAAAACATTTTTTTTATTTGGCACACGTTTAGCATATGCACAGTTTGTGGTAGACCAGCATATAACTATAGTCCGTCAACTTAACTTTTGGCACACTGTTTTTCACAATTTACATAAAACTCCTGAATATTTTAAACCGCTACTCTGTTCATATGGTACTTGTATACCGTGACCTAACAAGATATCGATTTTAGTAATTTTAAAAGGTTTATTAAAGATTTTGCCTTTAAATCTGTCATATAATAATTGTAAAACTGTGGAGAGTTTTACGAGGGGTTAACGCACGTGATGGAAAAGCCAACAACATTGTAAAATGTGTGTCAGCGTGATATGTACATGCACAGGTATTTACATTAGCACGCTTAAGTGATGTCAAAGATCGTCAACACACAGGTTGTGGTAAAAACGATGTTGTACAAAGATGACTGGTAAATCATCAAAAGAGTTTACAACTTTTTCAAGCTCAAGGCAAAGCGAAAAACACCCTCTTTTTCAATTGAGTGTTTCTCCAAAAGACATTAATGCCATCAAGATCTGCAAAAGAATATAGCAAAGAGTTATCTCCCATGACACTCTTTCAGAGACTGACGATGACATGAAAATCGGAACCATCTCAAAACATTCAAAGAAAAGAAAGCTTGATGAATTCGATGGAAGGGTTGTGAGGGACGTCATGAGTCGGTTACATCGATCCAGTGAGTCCATATCGTCAAGCAAACTGAAGAAAATAGAGTTCAAAAGAAGACCTGACATCAATGTATCAAAGCATACCATATGCAATTGCAAGCTGTTGCTCAAATTTGGATCTTGATACAAGAGATTGAGCAACCAGTATTTAAAGACTTCAATAAATCTGCTTGTTTAAAATGGATTTGTGATGATTATACAGTCCCTTTAGATTTGCTTGCAGGCGTAACAATGTAAACAAGATGCACGCGTGTCACACCATGTTGTTTGCTGTTCCATTGTATCATTTTACTCCCTTGTATAACTACTTCTATTTTTCATATTTTTATAAGATGGCTTCTTAAGAAGAAGCTTTAATAATTGACATAAAATTATGAAATTTAAACCTGAGATAGGTCATAAGATATAAAGAGCGTATGCCTAAAAACATTTTGAAGGCATTTTTGGTTAAAAGGTAAATTGTGAAAAACAGGGTGCCAAAAGTTCAGTTGACGGACTATAGACGACTTTGCACTCTACCAAGCTGGAATACGAGTTTATGCATTGACGTGTGTAGCTTGTAGGTCTGGTATCCAAGGGAAAGGGTTGAGTTCTGGGTAACTAACATAGACGAGAGCCGCAAGGATAACCTGCAATAACGCCCGGAAATGTTAAACTCGTTGGACTGTCTCCGGTTTATTTGTGAAGTGGCTGATCATCAAAATGTCATGTCTGTAGTTGCCCCGGCGTACAGTTCACATGAATACACTCGTATTCCAGCCAAGGCCTGACCACCCCGGCGTATTGAGGTGCGACAGACATTCATATCTCTTATACTTAACAACGACATCAGTTCCTAAATGATTACCAATACAAACAATCCCCCGTCCGTGGCAATGGCTATTCTGTTATCGTCTGACCATGATATCGTGTTGCAGGCAGTAACGTTTGAAGGAAATGTAGCTACAAAGCTTCCCGCTGCCGCCATGTTTGAAACAAAATCGACGGCAATAAGGGAAAAGAAATGTGATTGGTCAAATATTGACGAGGGATCCAATAAAACGTTCGAATGCATTTCAAGCACGTGCTGTTTCTCTCGTTTCGTTTTATTGGTTACTCCGTCCGATTTTACACCAATCACGTCGTTCGTTTCAAATACTTCTCAGATGTAAACTTCAACACGTGTTTGTCGTTCATAATAAATATTGAACAGAAACGATGTCCTTTAAATTTAATTTTTCCATGCCTTCAGATGATACCATCGATGAAAAGGGTAAATACATGACTTGTGCTTTTAGGTATTCATTCAATCGTGGAGGGGTGGGTGGATAAACACTGAATTATCTCGATCGTTGTGAAGTAAACAGGTAAAGCAGTGGTCAGGTCACATATTCACTCCTGACGAATACATCAAATACGACAGTCGAAACCTTACCATATATGTCGAATTCGGATATAGCGAAAGGATTTGCCTTCACTGTGTATATAGAATTCCCGATAGAAATTGATGTATAATTAATCAAGTCCTGTAGTTTCCTATTATATCGCAATTAGTGGGTGCTCATGATGTCGATCACTTATTTCTGGTCCAGCCTCGATTATTTACAGTCTGCATGAATATTGCTGAGTGACATTAACTAACAAACTATTAATTACGAGCTGATTACATAAATACAATGTCTCAATTTCATATATTTACAAAGTCTTGACCAATGTTAAATATGTTATAAACCAAACCATGCATATAATTTACATTTTTCCATGTTTAGAATTTAAGTGCATTGTTCCTAAGTAATGACAGAAAACTGAATTAGCATTTAAAATGTGTAAGATGAAGAAAGGTCACATCTTTCAAGACAACGTGTATGATGCTACCAAGAATGCTGCTAGAGTGACCAACTTAATGTTGAATTTTGTTGCTGTACTTGCACTTGAAATGTGAGACATGTGAGATGTTGCGTCTAGTTAGCAAAGGGAGATAAACACTGCGTTTTTCAGATTTTAGCATTCTTATATGTTGGATGTCCAGAAATTTTGTTTTGAACCAGTTGCATAGCAGTTTAATTATTGAAAGTATTGCAGGTAAAACACTGATAAATTTTAAATTGAGATCCTTTTTCAAATCATTGTTCAGTGGTGATTTATCTTCTGTTAAACTTGCATCCTTCTCACTTCATCAAAACGAACAGGTTATGTAAATGAAGCAAAGCATAATTTCTTTTAAGTGCATGATGGTCCCCTGCAATTCATGCTCATTTTATAGACAATTTTCCAAAACGTTTTTGAGTTTTTATATCACTGAGCTGAGCTGAGTATGGTTTTACGACGTTTTTAGCAATTTTCCAGCAAAATCACGACGGGGGACACCAGAAATGGGCTTCACAAGTTGTACCCATGTGGGGAATCGAACCCGGGCCTTCGGCGTGACGAGCGAACGCTTTAACCACTAGGCTACCCCACCGCCCCTTTATTTTACTATGGGTCAAACAATAATATACTGATGAAGATGTTTTGTCTTGTTTTTAGCTCATTTAGACAATTCAGCCAGCGTCATAACTGATGATGACGATTCTAAAGCTCTACCTTCACAAGAAATCTCACGGAACACAGCACAGGTAATTCATGGCACTAGTTCATGAGGTCTGCAGTCTGAAATAATCACCAGCAATTAACCATGCATTTCTGGGAAGTCACCCTCACCAACTTTCCTCCAACAAACATTCAAAATGTACTTGACATGTGATGCCTTCATGTCCATGTAGGTTGCATGTATGGGATAATGAGATCCTTTATTCTTGTTGAAAGCAGTTTAAACATCATTCTACTCAACATTTTAATGAATTGCTGCAAAAAAGGCATTTTCATAACATGGACAACGTAATACAAAGATTGTGAATGCTTGTACTGAAATGTTGCAATAAAAGAATAAAGAAGGTGAAGGCATTGGCTTGATAAAGGTATTAGCATCAATACAGAAATATAGAAAGAAACATAGTCAGTTATGTTTTTCCCTGATGCGCCTGAAGGAACTTCCATAGTTGTGCCCAGATTCTGGATTAATGATACTGAGAATTCCCGTATTTAAGCCCGGGGCTTAAATACGGAAAATCACTGTTCTAGTGATGAAATATTTTAACCATATTTAAGCCCAGGGCTTAAATTCGAAAATGCACTGTATGTTGATAAAATAAAAAGAATCGGTTTTTTAAAAAACTCTTTTATCAAGAAACTGGGCTATAAATTCAAAATTGAATGACCACATGGTTCAATTTAACTGCAACTGCATGCACATCATAGGGGTTAAGATGATCAATTTCTGTCACAAATAACTGCCCTGTAACCGGTGTCCAAAATGTTCTGTAAACGTGATAACCTCGCACAGCACTACTAAAGTTAAAAACGTCGAGGTTCGCCATGCATTTGGAAAGGGACATCACTCTAAATACCAAAGAATTAAATCCAAATTTAAGCCCATGGGCTTAAATATGGAAAAGAATCCCATATTTTAGCCCATGGGCTAAACTTAGTGTTGGCCTATATACGGGAATTCCCGGGAGTAAGATGATATGAATATGAAGGAAGCCATTCACAGACTCACTCAGATCATGACTAATGATGGCAGTCTGTGTTTCCAGAATGTTGGTGATCTGAGTACAACTGAACACAACGTATGTGGTGTTGTATTTAGAGTGATCCGTCAACAAGATGTCAATGTCAGCAGCTCGGCGCTCCAAGTTACAACAGATTCTGATCTTGTTCCTGGTGTTTATGAAGGTAACCATAGTTACGCGACATGAAAATATTCTTGTTTCTCATCACTGTTTAAAAAAAATATGGGTCGGACGGATTTTATGTTTACATTTTATTTTATTTTATGTCCAAAACCCCTTGATTTCTATGGAAATTTACAGCTTTTCTCTAATATAAAATGAAAATAAAATATTCATGCACATCATGTCAATGTTGCGTTTTCTCTTTTATAAAAATTAAAAAAATCTTAGGTTTGGGTCGAATGTTTGGCTTCGGCGGTAACGAGAAACAAGAATATTTTAATGTATGGCCTTACTGAAATATAATGTTAACACCAATGAGTAAGCTATCAATCTTAACGGGACAGGTTTATCACAATTTCATCCCATACACATAATAATCTTTCATAAATAACATGGAGGGTGGTGGAGTAGCCGAGTGGTTAAAGCATTCGCTCGTCACCCCGAAGACCCGGGTTCGATTCCCCACATAGGTACAATAAGTGAAGGCCATGATATTGCTGGAATATTGCTAAAAGTGGTGTAAAACCATACTCACTCACTCACTCATAAATAACAGGACCATATCATGTGTATACCCATCAAAAAAGTTAATTTATAAGAATTGGGTCTTTAAACGTCTTTTGAATGGCATATGATCAGCGTAAGGTAGAGACTGCCTCCGTGGTGTAGTGGTTAGAGTGTTCGCCCAGAGAGCAGAAGGTCGCGGGTTCGATCCCGGCCCGCGTCATACCAAAAGACGTCAAAGTATGGTACCTTTTGGTCCCTGTCTGGCTCTCGGTATTAATGGGTACAACAAGGACTGGTTGGCTCGGAGTCAGTATAATGTCTCTGAGTGGGGTATTCATGCTTCACTGCGGCATGGTATCTCAGTGAGCTAGCACTATAAAACCATTTTGAGTCTGGGCTAGAACAAGCATCCCCACATAAACAAGCATGCACGTCGTCATATGAGCGAAATATTTTAAAGTACGACGTTAAACCCAATTTCACCTCACCTCACCTTACGGTAGCCAGGGAATTACCCTGGTCTGTTTTTGAGACCAGGGATTTCAAGTAAAATTTCAGATTTAATAGGGGATTCCCATGATGGTAACTTGATGCTCAAAGCCTTTATGACTATTATGGCTGAAGATTTCAGTGTTAGACTGAAGAAAGTCAATTACAGACATGCTGAACTTTCTTACCTGAGAGGAAATGTTTGTTTGTTTATTGTTTAATGCCACACTCAGCGATATTCCAGCTATATGATGGCGATCTGTAAATAATCAGTCCAGGGACTGACGTCATGAGCATCGTTTTATCCATTTGGGACTTGCATCAGCCAATTCAATAATGTTTGTAGTTCTTTTCGTAAAGAAACGTCAAAGCACACAGATTGGTTGGTTGGTGTTCAATGTTCCAGCTATATCCGTAAATAATTAAGTCTGGACCAGATAATCCAGTGATCAATAGCATGAACATTGATTTATGAAATTGGGATGCGATAACATGTGTCAACCAAGTCAGCGAGTCTGATCACCTGACCCTATTTGTCGACTCTTACAACAATCATGGGTTGCTGAAGACCAGTTCTAACCTGGATCTTTGTTGGTAATAATTGGAAGGAATTGGTTGCTTACAAACATTGACTCTGGGATGCAAATAAAAAGTTGTGATGTTAATTCACTTTCTAATTATCACTGTTTCAGGAGGTCTGAAGATATGGGAGTGTGGTGTAGATTTAGCAGAGTACCTCATCAATCACAACATTGACTGTAAAGGGTTACGTGTGTTAGAGGTGAGAGCTAGTGAAGTCTTTGATTGGTAATTAGATGAAATGGGGTTTAAAGGTTGTGTCCACAAATATTTTACTCAAATAGCAACATGCATGACTTTGAATTGACCGGATATAAGCCAGTTTTGTTGTGCAGGGGCGAAAGAAAAAGTTAAGTTTTCTTTCTCATTTGCTTGTTACTTTAAATCCTGTGAGTTATTTTTTCCTCATTTAGTGAAATACTTGTTCAATTTCAATTATGAATCAGAAAATTGATGTTGTGTTAAAGAACAGACTTCAATGAGTACCAAGCGGCATTTATTTGTCTTCTTGGTGGAAAAAATGTAAAGTGTTCCTCCATAATCACTTTCTTTTCAGTTTAAAGTTTCAATGTAAATTTAAAGCAGTCCTACACCCTCACTTTAAAGAAAAACATGCTTGAGAAATATTTACATTTTAAAGTTGGCATACGTTTCGACTTACGCAAGGTTATTTCTAGGGCTGCCAGATCTTCACGGAAAGAGTCAGTGGTTGGTGTAAAAGATTTGTTTCATGAGATGACTGTATGTATAACCTGGGTTTATTATTCCCTGCTTTGAAGAGGGAGGGGATATAGGTTTGAGCTCCATCGTCGGAGATGATGGGACAGATTTTCTAAAAAAACCCCGTTATAGATAGGGAAACCAAATTTGGTATGTCTTTTCAGGACATAAATGCCTTGATTGAGTTTGAAAACAGAAACCGTGTTACAATTTGTTACAGAGTTATGGCCCTTGTCATGGGTTTATTGACTTAGTACATGGTATCCCCAATGGGGACAGATTTTCTCAGAAACCGTGATAGACAGGGAAACAGATGGGACAGATTTTCTAAAAACAAAACGTTTTAGATAGAGAAACCAAATTTGATATGGGTTTTCAGGACATGAATGCCTTGATGGAGTTCGACAAACGGAAACCATGATACAATTTGTTACAGAGTTATGGCCCTTGTCATGCGTTTCTTGATTTAATGCACTATCTAACTGTAATAGTTAAGGAAACCAAATGTGGTATGTGTTTTCAGGACATGAATATTGTGGTGGATTTAAAAAACTGGAACCAAATGGGTACAGAACACTGTGGCGGGGATATTGATGATCATGTCTTCTTGTTTCAGCTGGGATGTGGAGCAGGGCTACCAGGACTTACCGCCATGCACAAGGGAGCAGCCGTGGTCGACTTTCAGGATTACGTAAGTGGGGGGAGGTATTATCCCTTGGGACATTAACTCTGTGTTTCCATTGTTTGGAAAGTATATAATAAACTATATCAAAGGTGTTTAGGTATTTTCAATGTGTGAATGCTTACGTTAATAAACTGCTGCCAATAATCCAGTCTGGACCGAACAGTCCAGTGACTAATTTTTGCTGTGTTTTCTGGTGAACTGATTTCTTGTTGTTACAGAACCCTGAAGTGGTTGAAAATATCACAATTCCAAATGTTGAACTTAATCAATGTTCAGACTGCAAGTGTCGATTCTTTTCTGGAGATTGGAGTTCTCTCCCCTTAACAATCTGTACCGATGATGAAGAGAAGCGGTGAGTTCATACAGTGTTCCATTGCATATTGTTACCAGGGTGACGGTGTGCATTTTACAGGAATATGTGAATTAAGCAGGAGTATAAAACTCTTTGTGAAAAGGTTCACGGTTATAGTTCATTATACATTTGTAGACTTCAGAGTGTAATAATTCTGTGGTCACATGTTTATGTATGACAATCTATATCCAAAAGGGTAAGATTAAATAGAACTGGATAACTGTAGCATTTATCGGTGGACATTTGAATTTCAGAGTTGAAGCTGGGTGGGTAGGATGAATTAAAACAATATATATTATGTCAAAATTATGTTGTTTACAACATATAAATTAATAGAATCAGTCAAGCTGGATATTCTGAAAAATGGAAGTGTTTTAAATCCAAAATAATTTCTAGTACCCACTTTTCAGGGAATTAAATCCACACACCAGAATATTGATAAATATTGAATGTTCGGTCTGTAGTTCGTTAACTTCCCAGGCCTCTGTTGCAGGTATGACATAATCCTGACAGCAGAGACAATCTACAACACCAGGAGTTACAGAAAACTTCACCAGGCGTTCCAGCAACTCCTCAAGCAGAATGGAACCATGTATCCAAGATCAGCTGATTTTGTCACAATGGAAACCCTCATTAAAGAGGGTCTATGTTTAATTCTGGTGCTTATGGCAATGTCTGGATACTGCAGATAGTGTTGTATGTTAATCTTAGATATTCTGTGTGTAATCAGGGTACTAATTACCTGCATATGTCTAGGGACATAAGCTTAGCCATGTGGTTAAAGCATTTGCTCTGAAGGCCCAGGTTCAAATCCCTACTTTGGTACAAATGAAGCATAGTTCCAGTGTCCTGTCGTGAAGCATAATAAAACCACAGTCACTTACTGAGAACGATAATAATTTGAGATATAAAGCAAATATGATGTTTCAGGGTTTTGAATCGATCTCAAAACTGGCTGGGATGCCAATGTATCAGAGCAATCTCCCCATTCAAGAGTTCTGTGTTGTGAGATGACACCTATATATCGTTTTGACAATAAGTGGAGTAAGTAGATGTCAGAGAACATGTATTGGTTTTTGGTCACTGGTGATGTGAATATTGCAGTTACATGGTGAATATAATATATAGTCCTATGTTTAACATTTTTTCAATTCTCAACACTTCCTAATCTTTACATTTTTTGATACTTAATTCCAAACACTGCACAAGTATTTTGGATGTGTACTGTACTAGAATGTTGTTTCGCTGTATTTGCCTGAACCGTGTCCAGCTACCTAGCAGCCAAGTCAACCTACTTTGGTGTTGGAGGGGGAACACGGCTGTTTGAGGCCTTCCTGAAGAGGGAGAACGTCTTCACCAGCCAGGTGTGTTTGGAGATAGAAGCAGGTGAGAACATAATATTTATTTGTCAAGCAGGTGAGAACGTGGTAAATAGAACAAATGAGAACAGTATCAGGATACCTTTTCAAGCAGGTAAGGATGGTTTTAGTTAGAATAACCAGGTGTCAAGAAATGGACAGGTGACATTTATTAGAGGTACGTTGGGGAAGATTGGTGAGAGGGGTCTGTCAGCAACATATGCAAAGTCCTAAGGCCAATCAAACTGTCCCACCCCAAATTATTCAAATATTAATTAATTATGAGTGAGTTTTACGCCACTTTTAGCAATATTCCAGCAATATCACGGCAGGGGATACCACAAATGGGCTTTGTACCCATGTGGGGAAACGAACCTGGGTCTTCGGTGTGACGAGCGAACACTTGAACCACTGGGCTACCCCACCGCTCCATTAATTATGATGAGCAGGTGTAATTTTAGTTTTCATTAGTATGAGCAGGTGTGAATCTTGGACAGTATTTATTGTCATTCCCACATTTCACATTTGCCATATACTGGCAGAGGTAATGAGATCTCAGGACTGCCTGACTGAGTTTGGTTTTACGCCGCTTTTAGCAATATTCCAGCAACATCACGGCGGGGGACACCAGAAATGGGAGATCTCAGGAGGATCCGGTTCAGATTGATCTTCAACAACCCATGCTTGTTGTAAGAGGCAATTAATGGGTTCGTGTGGTCAGACTCACTGACAACGTATCCCAATTGTGTCATGATGTTAATCACCGGATTGTTTGGTCCAGACTTGATTATTTACATACTGCTGTCATATAGCTGGAATATTGCAAATTTTCGATAAACAAACAAACAAAGAAACGGAGGTAATGAGAAGAAAAGGACATTTTCAACATTTTTGTATTTTATACATATCAGATTTCTACATGTATTTTCTTTGCAGGTGTGCCAAGGGAGATCTTAAAGGTGACACGACAGACATCCTGACATGAGCCCACCATTGTTGTACATACTGTACATACAGCAAACACTGTACATAATACAAATAAAGACTCTCATAGATCAATCTGGAACTGTACTGAGTGCATGTATATCCTTATTCTGTAGCTCATGCGCAGATCGATGCTCATGCTGTTGATCACTGGATTGTCTGGTTCAGACTTGATTATTTACAGACTGACGCCATATAGCTGGAAAATTGCTGAGTGTGGCTTAAAACTAAACTCACTCACTCACTGTAGCTCATGAGTGAGTGAGTTGGGTTTTAGGAATATTCCAGCATTATCATGGCGGGGGACACCAGAAATGGGCTTCACACATTGTACCCATGTGGGGAATTGAACCCGGCCTTCGGCTTTAACCACTGAGCTGGCTCACTGCCCTGTAGCTCATGTGATTGAAAGTTAAATGGCAATGTCATGGCCTGGTTCATTGTCTGCCATTGTTGTTGGTGCCTACAAACTGTCGGTTGTCTGCCTGTCAGTTGTATGGAATGATATTAGTGAAAAAGTCAAGACAGACCGACAACAGATCAACAGATGGACAGTGCCCTGTAATAACATCCACGTGGCAAGTGCCCACATCATCAAATTGTGACTTATTTAGATGTGACATGAATAGATGTGACATGAAGTATGAGAGCTAGTATCATCTTTGGAGCACTATTTCTGTTCCAATGAATGATCCTCCATCCTGCCCGAGGCACAACTTGTGAGACGAGTCCGAACCAATCCTGCACACATGAACGTTGGTTCTCCCCTCTGAAGCTACAACAATGTCCCGTGCTGTCTCGATCTTGAGCTTGACGCCTCCCGTAACGTCATATGGAGAAGTAGAAGTTGATATTGTCTGTCCATCCCTTTCATCAGCAGCAGTCATGCTACCAGCGTCAGATGAAGATGAAGATATTGATGAACCAGTCTTCAGAGATCCATCTTTCCCTACGCCAATACAAGGCAGTAACACAGCACCTGTTGTAACAAACATACAGAATTTTAATAGTTTTGATTATGAGTGAGTGAGTTTGGTTTTACACCGCTTTTAGCTGTTTGCTAACAATATCATGGCAGGGGACACCAGAAATGGGCTTCACACATGTTGGGAATCGAATCTGGGTCTTCGGCGTGATGAGCGAACGCATTAACCACTAAGCTACCCCACCGCCCCAGTTTGGATTGTGGTTTTTTAAGGCTGGACCTTTGTACCTCTGCTATAGCATGTGTCGGATTTGCAATGGTGGCCATTTTGAAAATGTGACTCTTCACTCACATTAATGGAAACTGTCTATCAGTCTTGACTGATCTTTAATTGCCACTACTATCATGCCAACAAATCAAATACTTGGATCACATAAACCCAGTAGCACCTCCTGCAATGTTGCAATGGAATGAGCCACATCTACCATGGTGGCCATTTTGAAAAAATAATGTTTGCTAAACTTAGAGGAAAACTGGCATCTATCAGTCTACTGTTGTGTCAACAAATGAAATGCCTTGATAACAGAAACCCCGCTAGCACCTGGTGAGTTGCTATGATATATACAGCTGGATAATTGGTGAATAATTCATGGACTTATCAGCTTGGAGGTATATACCCAAAAAATACCTGTCTGGTCTGGAGGTCTGTCATAGATGCCGTCAACATCGGTGAGGAACACAACATGGTCGACGGTGAACACTTCACACAAAGTCTGAAACGTGGAACTGATGTCTCAGAAAGGTGATACACACAGCAGAAATTTGTATCTCTGGCCTCCATAATCCAGATACATCTGCAAGGCCAAATATATTAAAGAGAAGAAAAACAAGAGGAAAACATAAAAAAATATTTTCCACTCATATTATTCACACACGCAGGAACAGATTACAACCTCTTGATGAGTGATTTTGTTTTTATTTTAGCTCACACAGTGCAATATTGTGCAGCACTAAACATTCAGCTTGATGCACATCTGTGCAAGCAGGATAGGGTTGGTCAGACTCGTGAACATAAAGTGAAGTAATGCGGCAATCAAGTCTGGACCAGATAATCCAGTGTTTGCAACTTTGAGCAACAATCAACGCTGTTGGTGTATAATGTCACACGGTTAGTCAAGTCACTGGGTCTGCTAAACTATTCGATCAAGCTGCTTGTATGACGAGCAAAGGTTGGTGTGGAAATATTCCAACCCCAAATCTCCACAGACTAGTCAGTCAGATTAAGGTGTAAGGTAACCTTGATGATGGTATCCCCGCTGAGGATGCACCCGCCGATGTTGGTGTCACGGACGGAGTCTCCATGCATTACTGGGACGAACCCAGCATCCAGCAGATGACTGAGTGTTTCTAGGCCATTAGAGATCACTTTCTTACTTCTTGTCACCCATGAACTGCAGGGCTGAAACATTACCTTCATCAGTTATTTGGTTTCAGGGTGCGGTGGGTTGAGCGGTTAAAGCGTTCGCTCGTCATCCAGGTTCGATTCCCCACATCGGTACAATGTGTGAAGTCCATTTCTGGTGTCCCCTGTTGTGATATTGCTGGAATATTACAATAAGTGTCGTAACACCCAAATCACTCACTACTTGGTTTCAGTTTTCAGATTCTGCAGATTCCATATTTCATTATTGTGGAATGAGTGAGTGAGTATTTTTCACGCCGCTTTTTGCAATATTCCAGCAATATCACGGGGGGGACACCAGAAATGGGCTTCACACATTGTGCCCATGTGGGAAATCGAACCCGGATGTTCGACATGACGAGCCAACACATTATCCATAAGGCTACCCTACCACCACCCCTATTGTGGAATGAAAAGAAACTGTCACATATTTTTTCTTCAGTGAATCTATTAAGATTTCTCTCCCTGGAAACCTATACCGGAAGGAAACAATGAGCAAGCGAGTGTGTGTGAGTGAGCATGGTCCTTTTAACACCACATTTTGCAATAATTGAGCAATACCATGTTATGTGACACCAGGAATGGGCTTCACACATTACAGCCTTGTGGGGAATCGAACCCGGGTCTTCGCATGATGAGTGAACACCCCACCACTAGGCTACCCCACCACCGCATTAATAAAACATTGGGAACCTGGATTAACACTGACTGCTGTTGCCATTTTCACTCAATAGAATCAACCCTGGGTGAGTACTTGTTATAACAGGCAAATTAATGGATGGAGATAAACAGGAACCGCTGCAACATTGTGTTGGCCTGGCGCCAGTTACCGAAGTAAACTCTGCATACTCACCGAGCAGGGAACAGCAGCAACGTTGTGTTGTATCAGGCTATTGACCACAAGAGTATTCAACTGAAATAGATGGTAGGCGGTCTGCATTATGTTCACATGATACCCATCTCCCACCCCGAATTTTTACTCTGGCGTTTAATAATATAAGTGGTGGAATTGGGTTTAACGTCGTGCTTGAGAATATTTCGCTCATATGACGACGCATGCATGCGTGTGTATGTGTATGTGCGGCTGCTTGTACTAGCCCAGACTTAAGCTGGTTTTATAGTGCTAGCCCACTGAGATACCATGCCGCAGTGAAGCATGAATACCCCACTCAGACACATTATACTGACTCCGAGCAGACCAGTCCTTGTTGTACCCATTAATGCCGAGCGCCAGGCAGGGACCAACAAGTACCATATTTTAACGTCTTTTGGTATGACGCGATCGGGGATCGAACCCGCGACCTTCCGCACTCCGGGCGGACGCTCTTACCACTACATTAATAATATAAAGGTTTACTTATTTCAGTTTTCCCCAATGTTGAGAATTATTTGCCCAGATGTGATAAAATACTACCCTTGCTCATTTGATCTTTCTTCATCTACTAAAAAAATGTTACCGAAGCAAAGCAAATAGATCTACATCATAAATTGATTTAAAGTCTTTTAATAAATTTTAAATTTCATCAAATAAGTTACAAAATTAGTAAAAAACATTTGCTATATTTTTTGCTTCAATTGATACATTTTTCACCTGCTAGTTGAGATTGGCGATGAGAAACACATAAAAATACCATATGAAACATCCATAGCTTTATAGCTTGATGACGGTGTAAGAATGTACATCGAACATTGTCCATACAATATACAAGAAGTTATCTGTAAAGTCACCTGCTACTTTATTGCTAATATTCTCAAGAAAATATTTATTGTCATGTAAATGTTCAGCCTCATTTAGGGACGCTTCCTTACATACAAAAAGATTTACAAGTTTGTATAGCAACAATTATTGAATGAGGGCACTGACTATGGGTAGTTCTTAATATGCATTTTAACGAATATTGACAGCAGATTTGATGATACAAAACAAGTGTCCTTAGCATGCAAAATATCATTTTGTATAAAATTAGGATTAAGAAAAGAAGAATATTATGGTCTAATTTCAAGGGTATTGCATTTTTAAGTCAAAGAATTAAAACCTGTTCATCTTGACTGGTCTTGCTATCAATGAAATACAAGCCTCCTAAACTATCACCTCAGCTATCACCATGTCAACTTGAATGGGGATGATGTATAATTTCTCTTTGGAATGCCTTACTAAAATCTGCAGCAAACTTGGCTTAATGGCGGCCTTTGTGCAATTGTTAAAATTTATCCCTGATGATAGATGGATTTCACAACATGATTAAACCATGTCAGGGTTTGAACCCAGAATGTATGATGGCAGACTGACACATCAACCATGAAGCTACACTGAAATCATTGTTAGGCCAGACCAATTTGATTTCTTGTTTTACGGATTTCTGTCCTCAGAAAACCTAAAGGCAGGAGGGAAAAATAATAAAAAATAAAACAAATCACCAGTCAAAGTAACATTCCTTTTAAATACTAAAAGTGTTTTACTTTTGGCAATTAATGAAGTGTATATGGGGCAAAAAACAATCAAAAAATATAAAAGTTTACATTTTTGGCCAATAAAAACATTAAGATTTTATTTTTTGAGCGGCGAAAATTAATTATTATTTTTTTTCTTATTCTTGAAAAAATACGACTGGCGGATCCATAAAACAAGAAATGAAATTGGTCTGGCCTTAGCAAGGTTAGGCTAGGAAGTTTGCAAGAGTCACCTTGGCGACAGATTTGTGTGTCTGACAGAAGCCCATCCTTGCAGCGTGTGCTTCTGCCGCCTCCAGATGAGCAAAGCCGGAGTTGACGCTGTACTGCTTTGCCTGATGGTGGCCAAAGGATCTGTTGATGCCATTGAATTTGATGAACATTTAGTTAAAAAAAGTTGTGCTAAAAAAAGTACATCTGCCAAACAGAATAAGTCCAAATAGGGCTTAGATTAATGTTATTTTCGGCCTAGGTCTGTAACAATCAAAACTTGCCAGTCATTTTACACTTGAGTCGGATTCATTCTGTAATGTATTCCCTAAGGTCTTGGAAACAGAATGTAAGATCAGTATAACATAAAAGAATGAATAAACTCGCAAGATGTCCCGTGCTTGGATTCTAACCATGGACATTCTGATTAAAATCGGACGCCTTGTTCACATGACCAAAGAGGTTAACCCGTCAGTAAGCTGACAAGGTAAGGATATCATCTGTGGGATGACTCCACGCCCTGCTACATATTCCCCCGTCAACAGAAGGCAAGTCTGGGTACTGAGACTTATTTTGCTCAAATTTGATATGAATGTGCTCAGCCCCAAGTTGGGGGCCAATAAAGCAGCCATAACTTGTCCGAGTTACGTGCTGGGATTCGAACTAGAGCTGTGTATCGTGGCCTAAGTGGCGAGACGATATATCCTGATACCAGTTTAATGAGGCGAGACGATATATCATGAAAGTATTGGCAAGGAACCTGCAAGACAATTCTCATCACGATTCAATGGCGGCAATACGATGCTTATCCCGATACTTTACCATTTCTAATAACAGAACATATATGATAGTATAAAATGACTGAAACTTCATTTGTTATACAGCAGAACTTGTGTTACATTCACACACATCTGTTAAAGTCTCAGCATTTAATGCTTAAGAAAGTACAGTCACACATATTCAGTATACCTTGATCTAACATGTATAAAATTAAAATTAACGTTTCCCTTGGGAAGCTGTGTTTCTGCACCAATGCTTTCACAAACAGTTCAATGTAATTTATATCAGAATACAGAATCAAGGAAACAAACTTTAAGTACGCATTCTAAATTTTCTCTTCTCTTTGTTCTCTTTGTTAAAGCTAAGACATCGTTCGTAGTTGTTAATAAATGGTGTTTTTTTGTCAAACAACTAAACATATTTCAATTACTTGAAGACAAGTATTCTACAGTTCACGGAGTTTGTAAAATGTTCACACTCTTTCACTTATACACCGACTCCTTTGTTCATGTAACAAAGATAGCAGGCACAAACAAATTTGCATAAGGTTCAATTGGTTTTTATAATTCAGATGAATTTCAAAGAGACTCCCTTCCCATACCTAATGTATCGGGTGTATCGGGATATATCATCTCTTGTGGTGATACATCGATGTATCATGGACCCTCGCGATATAAATATCCTGATATATTGCCTAAATGTGTTTTGTATCGATGCACTCATATCGCGTAGTTGACGATGCAAACATCGATCCTATCGATGGATCGTTACACCACTAATTCGAACCACGGAACTTCTGTAACCTTGTTCTTAAACCCTTTGCTTGTCATGATGAAGACCTGGTTTTAGTTCCCCTATGGGTACAATGTGAAAAGGCCCATTTCTACTGTCCCCAAACATAATATTGCAGGAATATTGGTAAAAGCGCGCAAAACCATACTCACTCACTCTCTCTCACTTGTTCAAATTGAAAATGGCATTTGCAGCTTACAAATACATGGGATTATTTTGTGAATACTGATTCAACTTATTTAAAAAATATATTTTCCTAAGTGAGAACTTTAAGTATGGGGTACTTAGTATCTGCACCACTGGCACACTAAAACAAGAATTGTGAAAGCTATAATCCTACCCAGCTCCGTGTACAACTACGCAGACCATGTTCTTCTGGACACACTCTTCAATCAGTATGGCCGCTTTATTGAGTTCCGCTTCTTTGAGAACTTCTAGTTCATTTTTGTTAGTGATTGCACTCCCACCAAGTTTGACAACAAGATCAACTTTTCTGCAAGACATCATGTGGGAGTTCTCACAACTGAAATAGAATAAAAAATAATTGTTAGACTCTTGGTACAGAGTACCCGATAATTGTAAACATCGAGATTTGTTCCCACTGAAAATGGCTAACCTCTGACCTCTGATCCATCCCTATTCTGAGTATTCATACTTTGTTTAGCCAAATTCTCATATCTGTTTTGAAGCATCACATGTATTCACCCATTTGATTACGTATAAGTCAGTTAGGCCCAATCAAAATGAGAGGTAAAAAAAGAACTGCATGCTGGTTGTAAAATTAATAAACAGTTAGTATGGTGATAACAGCCAATTATTATTTGTCATATGGGATTCAACACCTCAGATCTGGACACTTTCCAGATGCCACACTACATAACTGCTGGGTAGCAGATGCTAAAACTATTATTTATATGTAAAATTCTGCCCCATGATATCTTTCCCATATAATAATTAAACAAATATCTGCACTGAGTAATTCCGATTTTAAATATGGCCACCTCAGCAGCCATCTTGAATTTACCTCACATTTATTTCCTACTGTAACAAAACCCATGAAGATCCAGGTTAGAATTTATCTTAACCCATGCTTGTCGTAAGAGGCAACTAACGGGATTGTGTGGTCAGTCTCGCTGACTTGGATGACACATGTCATTGTATCCCAATTGTGTTGATCGATGCTCATGCTGTTGATCACTGGATTGTCTGGGCCAGACTCAATCACCGCCATATTGCTGGAATATTGCTGAGAGCGGTGTATCACTAAACTCACTCACTACTGTAACAAAATCTAGAACTTTGACCGTGTCATCAAAACCCATTCCTCAAGTAATGACATGAGTTAAGCTGCATTCCTGAAAACATAACACATGAAACATCTGAAACATATCGGCCATAACGGAGCCTTGCATGGTTACCGGTAGGCATATTTCAAGGTCCAAGGTTATTAGCTTTACATTGACAATCATTATTTCACACGTAAAAATCTTGCCTCGAGTCCAAATTCTCATATGATGGCGACTTTGCCGTCCACTAGTCTCAAACTACTTCATATTTCAGCTGGACAAACAACTGCCTTTTCGAGCAAGTCCTGCGAAGGGAGGTTACTCGTGTCATTCTCACATTCTACCTTATGAAAACACTCGATCTGCAAAAAGACGATCGAATCCCCAAAGTTACTACTGCGGCAACACATTTTTCGAAACAATATAGTTTTCATTTTGAGTTAAAGGTGTGAAACTAATAGAGAGCTGAAGACACACTGATACAAAAGATACAATTATAATTGTATATACTGAACATATTTCCTCATGCCTTCATGGTTGATTACAACGTTGTTGAAAGTAAACAGGCTGATATTCTTTGCAGACTGATGAGACTGGCAACAGTGTTACAAGTAAAATGTCCACTAATGAACAGTTTACAAAAACTATTCAATTAAACAATACACTAAATCAAGTGTTACCTTTTACACATAGATTAAATACTGATCGCAATTCGGCACTCTGTATGAACCAGCTTATTGGTTAAAGCGGTCATTCGACACTCAGTCCGAGTTTGATACCCCATATAGTTAGAGCTACTGCTGAATACAAAAACGATTTGAAAAAAGCCCATTTAAACCGATATTCTATTTACTCCCAAGTATATTAAGTGTCTTCTGAGGTCAAAATATTTAGAGGCCACAAAGAATTAATTCCGCTAATATTTGACTGTGCCAGTCCCATCTGAGACGTCCGTAAACACTTACAAATAAGTGAGTGAGTGAGTTTGGTTTAATGCCTCTTCTAATAGTAATACGATTACACGTGAGCCTAATGTAGGGACACAGCCCGAAGTAATGCAAGTTTCAGATGTTACCTCCACGGTAACACCCACGAGGGGCATGCTGCAGACAAACCCAGAAACCGTGGTTCGAATCCACTGCTGTGGAGACTGATCATTGCGGTTACAGCACGACGAGTGACCCTAATGTGTCGACATAGCCTGGGTAAGTGAGTGAGTATGGCTTTACGCCGCTTTCAGTAATATTCCAGCAATATCACAACGGCGCACACCAGAAATGGTTTTCAGGAATACTGGGCCCCTTTAGAAAGTATGAAAAGTGGTTTGTTTATGGTCAAAGGCTGGAAATTGTTTCATACTACAGGTATTTGGGTATTGTGTTCACTCCTGGCTAGTTTGGACTCAAGCTCACACTACTCTTGCTTCTCAAGCCAATAACTGACTGACTGACTGAGTTTAGTTTTACGCCGCTTTTAGCAATATTCCAGCAATATCACGGCGGGGGGACACCAGAAATGGGCTTAACACATTGTGCCAATGTGGGGAATCGAACCCGGGTCTTCGGCGTGACGAGCCAACGCTTTAAACACTAGGCTACCCCACCGCCCCTCAAGCCAATAAAGCCATTATGGGGTATCCATGGATACCAAAAGAGAGTAGGTTATCTGTCATGTGCGGATCTTTTTAAAATATGTGATGCTATAGTTAAACCTATCCTTTGTTACGGTTCAGAAAATTGGGGTGTTACCCATTGTAAAATCATTGAACAAATCCAGATATAAACATGTAAATATTTCTTAAAAGTTGGTAAAAATACATGTAACAATATGGTTCTTGGTGAATGTGGCAGATTCCCTCTTCAGCTTACTATGTCAAGGGCAGTTAAATATTGGTGTAGACTTTTAACTCTTCCAAGTTGTGGATTACCTCATCAGTTTTATTTAATGCTTAAGTCTTTGGATGAATCTGGACGGACGACATGGACATCTCATATCAAGAATATTTTATTTAGATTTGGGTTTGGCTTTGTTTGGATGTCACAAAATATTGGAGATATTGATGGTTTCATTTCTGTTTTTAAGCAAATATTGTCTGATAATCTTTCACAAGATTGGTATTCATCCCTACATAATACAACCAAGTAATTATATACTTTTCAAGTCCCTCCTGAATGTTGAAACTTATCTCAGTTTAGATATTGCCCCATATTTAAAAATTGTTTAACAAAATTTAGATGTGGTAAAATTAAACTTAATTCTGAGACCGGTAGATATAACAATGTCCCTTATGATTCAATATTCTGTCCTTTTTGCCACAAAATCAATATTTATTTAATTGAAGATGAAATATATGTTTTACTTTACTTTATTGTAAAGCCTACCTAGATATAAGGAATAAATCTCTGGATAAATATTTGAAACATCCTATTTCACAACACAGCTTTTATAAACATAATGACTTCAACAAACATAAATGTTATAAATAATTCATGCCTATTTTTATATAATGTTGGGAAAATAAGAGATTCTGATGTTCTATGTAAAACGCATGTAACTTCTTATCATATCTATGACTGTATTTTGGGTCAGTGGCCTATTACTGAATAAAATGTCTGTCTGTCTGTTTGACATCTCAACATTCATTCATTCATTCATTCATTCATTCATTCCCCTACCACACCCACCCACCCACCTCTACACCCATCCATCTATCCATCCATCCGTCCGTCCGTCCGTTCGTTCGTTCGTTCGTTCGTTCGTTCGTTTGTTCTTCGTTCGTTCCCATATAGAACACTGTGCACAAAGTGTATGTTGCCTGAAACAGTTCTGAGTTGATTCTCTGACAAACTAAAGATAGATATCATCAAGAATGATCCCTAACAAGGTATCCATGAATGATCGGTCAAGTTGATCAACTTTGAAAATGTTTCTTAAATCCACAGTCAGTGCGTGCGAGTGTGTGAGTGTGGTTTTACGCCGCTTTTAGCAATACTCCTGCACTATCACGGCGGTCAACTCCACTAAGACATTCATGAAATGTACACCCCGTAGACCTGTAAACAAAGCTATAAAAGCCTTATAACGTTTAATACCATAAGCTATGTAATCTTCAAAGGGCGTCCACCTGCGTCACTACCTACTCAACATGCACATATACATGTGACCTGACCCAGGATGCCCTGTGTTTGACCTTATTGTTGTCTCCCAAGTGACCTACATGCGCACCTGTCACGATACTCGTCACGTGGTCTGTCTGAATAATGACATGGGCCTCTCACATGCGACCTAAAAGGGATCTACAAAAATTCACGAAGATTGTATCAAGCGTAAATTATTCTCAATAATGTTCCAAATAAGTAAAAATGTAACCTAAGCTCGTTTTGTGAATATATACCATCGTCAACGTAATGCACATATCAATTACGTAATGCTATGAGTGAGTGAGTTGGATTTTACGCCGCTTTCAGCAATATTCCAGCAATATCACGGTGGGGGACACCAGAAATGGGTGACGTAATTTTACCCATGCGGTGGGTGAGTTTAATCAGCAATATTCCTGCTCTATGGCGGCGGTCTGTATATAATCGAGTCTGGACCAGAAATCCAGGGATCAACATCAGAGCATCGATCTACGCACTGACATGTGTCAAACAGAGCCTGACTCTCCCGTGACGTCTTGACAAGCATGGGTTACTGAAGATCTACTTGTTGACGTATGACCTTCACGGGTATGACGCATTGCAGAAACAGGAGCTGGTTAACTGATATTATATTCTAGACTTGCACAAGTTCTTTTTGTAATAATTAATAGTTTAATGATAATTACAAGAAAAATATAATAAGAGATTTGCGTCCTTAGAGTACTGTCCGTTTCCCCGATTTGCCTCTTTAAATGCTAGAATCATTATTATACATCCATGGGCTTAGCATTCTGTACAGCCTTGGAGCAAGGCTAATTCGATTCCAGCGAGTATTATCATTTCTTCTAAATGCTTCTGTTTTAATATAACATTCTGTACACCTTAATTCATTCTATTTGTAATGGTTCTTATAATTCTGGGGCGGTGGGGTAGCCCAGTGGTTAAAGCGTTGGCTCGTCACGCCGAAGACCCGGGTTCGAATCCCCACATGGGTACAATGTGTTAAGCCCATTTCTGGTGTCCCCCGCCGTGATATTGCTGGAATATTGCAAAAAGCGGCGTAAAACCAAACTCAGTCAGTCTGTCAGTCTTATAATTCTAAGGGCTCATTGGAGTTTATGGGCAATTTATAGAAAAAAAAACCAACATGCTACTCTAATTTCGAGTGAAATTGCCTGGAACATTTTTCGTTTTGGTATGAAAGGAGTTTAGAAAATTTGCCACAACAATGAAAGGGAGCCACTGCAACAAGGTGATCGTGCTGCATTCCTGCACCTCGCCTGCAACATCTGACCTCAGTCAGCAAAACACGTTTTGTTGTTGTGTATATGTCTGTGATGATGTATCGTCCTGAATATTTTTTGTCATTGTAATTTGTTTGAATTTAAAATCTAGATACACAAATATCTTTCATTGCATTAGGGGCGGTGGGGTAGCCTAGTGGTTCAAGTGCTCGCCGATCAACATTTCCAGCCGTCCCTTCGCCACGACGTGAAATCATCATCCCGTCTATGTATTTTGAATGTATTTGATTCAATTTAAGTGCTTTTACATATGTCCTTGTACGAGATGTTGTAAAAAGAAACTTTCTATGAGAATAATGACATTCAATGTTTATAAATTGCTTGTTATCATTAAAAGGATCATGGATGAAAAAAATGTGTTATGTATTTAAGGGGTGTAAATTAGGAGATAAACATAATGTGTTGGCCAATTTCCTGGTGCTATTGAGTATTTGAAGCACGGGAATTCATTTGGAATCGACGGCGTCATGGTGGGTAGCGAATGAGGTTATCTCCCAATTGACAGACACCCATTTGACAGACAGTCGATTGACAGACACTGAACTGGAAGGTTAATTAGGGTAACACCTACAGGTATAATGGAACAGTCCACTGTCTAGTGAGTAGAGCAGGATGAGCCTGAAACAGGTTCGTTACTAAGAAGTTTGTGTGTAAAAAGAACTTTGTTGTGATTAAATGATAATATGTCTTCTCTTCTCAAAATTGTTTTCACTATCTATTACTATCGAATATAAAAACAGGTTTGTGACTGAGAGGTATAATAAGTAGGTAACAGGTAGTAGCTAATCTGTTCATTGAACCGTAAATGTTGTTTTAAGGCGTCTGCGAACTGCCTGTCTGCGTAATGGGAGGACACCGAGAATGAACTGTTCTCCAGAGGCAGTCGACTTGAAAATCTTTGCTTGCTCCACTGGTTTGTTGTTTTAAACATCACAGTTGTCGTCTTTCAGGCAATAAACCAGCCCACCACGCCTTTATATGTTATTGATGTGGCATTGTGACCATTGAACCGTGATGATAGATGTGCAGGATAAGCTTCAGTGAATCAGTTTTGTTTGACGCCGCATTGCATTACTTCAGCGACATCACGACTTGTCACTTAAAAGACGAACGCTTTTCTACAGATCTTGACCTTTAAAAGGAATGTTGATTTTTAGAAATGTTAATTTCGTACCGTGCTAGAATAATGGACAATTAAATTCTGACCGCCCTTCTTCCGTGTCAATGGTTTGCATGTATATCCAGCTGTAAAGAGGTCGACCAGCATTTTTAATGCATGAGGCTGCAAAGACGGAAATCACGTTCCGACCTGCCTCTGACGAGGCAGAGAATTATTGCAACATTACTCCATCATAAACTGTTTACACCACGCCCAGACGGAGGGTTGTTGACACGTCCACACACACGTGTCCACTAGCGGTCACTGCCGGCCAGAGAACTGACACAAACAGGGTGTTTTTTTGGTGAAGTCAACTGTCACACCAATATGTTGACGTTTGGACTTCTTCTGACCACGTGTCTGGCAGTCAACTCGCAAGGTAAATTCTTATAATTAGTATTTTAAAAATATTTTAATTATTATAATTTACATAATGTTATTTTTATTTTGTCTTTATTGCTAAAAGGTTTAAAAAGATTCATTGTGGGTGGTATGCAGTGAAAAGCCCGTTGTGTTTATGTATGGACCCAAGTTCGGAGTTTCATGCTGCGCTTTGACATGGATTTTACTGATCTCATGTCATTGCACATGCGCAGAAGACTTAAGCCTTTCGTAAGGATGATGATTTGCATGTAGACATATAGATAATCAATCACTGCCACTATGAGCTTCATACGAGAATACCAAGTATATACCATTTCAGACAGTATATATTCAATTCAATTTACAATATTGATGCAGGATTCAAACAGCTTTAACTGCGTACATTCCGTTAGTTGACGATAAAGAATGCTGAAAAGTAAAGTTTTCTTGATATAACCCAGACTTCGTAAATGCTGTCGGTGCAATTAAGCATGATTTTCCTTTTTAGGAACTCCTCTGACTTTAAGTGATTCATTCATATTTCCTTTTGACCATTTGTTTCTTTTGCCTACTGAAAGGGAAACAGTCACACTGTGGAGCAAATGGAGCAATCATCCACACTCATAACAATCATCCACACAATGGAGCCAACCAAACGATGTCGAACAATCAACCACACACTGTAGCTACAAGAACGGGAACAGTCATTCACACAATGTAGCCTCACGACCAAGAACAATCAACTACAAAATGTAGCAACGCAATCTGGAACAATCAACCACACAATGTAGCCACACGATCTGGAACAATCAACCTCACAATGTAGCCACACATTCTGGAACAATCAACCACACAATGTAGCCACACGATCTGGAACAATCAACCACACAATGTAGCCACACGATCTGGAACAATCAACCTCACAATGTAGCCATACGTTCTGGAACAATCAACCACACAATGTAGCCACACGATCTGGAACAATCAACCACACAATGTAGCCACACGTTCTGGAACAATCAACCACACAATGTAGCCACACGATCTGGAACAATCAACCACACAATGTAGCCACACGATTTGGAACAATCATCCACACAATGTACCCACACGTTCTGGAACAATCAACCACACAATGTAACCACATACTCAGAACAATCCTCCACACAATGTAGCCACACGATATGGAACAATCAACCACACAATGTAGCCACGCAATATGGAACAATCATCCACTCAATGTAACCACATACTCAGAACAATCCTCCACACAATGTAGCCACACGATATGGAACAATCAACCACACAATGTAGCCACGCAATATGGAACAATCATCCACTCAATGTAACCACATACTCAGAACAATCCTCCACACAATGTAGCCACACGATCTGGAACAATCAACCACACAATGTAACCACATACTCAGAACAATCCTCCACACAATGTAGCCACACGATCTGGAACAATCAACCACACAATGTAGCCACACGATATGGAACAATCAACCACACAATTTAGCCATACGATCTGGAACAATCAACTACACAATGTAGCCACACGATTTGGAACAATCATCTACACAATGTAGCCACACGTTCTGGAACAATCATCCACACAATGTAGCCACACGATCTGGAACAATCAACCACACAATGTAGCCACACCATCTGGAACAATCAACCACACAATGTAGCCACACGATCTGGAACAATCCTCCACACAATGTTACCACACCATCTGGAACAATCAACCACACAATGTAGCCACACGATATGGAACAATCAACCACACAATATAGCCACACGATCTGGAACAATCAACCACAGAATATAGCCACACCATCTGGAACAATCAACCACACAATGTAGCCACACCATCTGGAACAATCAACCACACAATGTAGCCACACGATATAGAACAATTATCCACGCAATGTAGCCACGCGATCTGGAACAATCATCCACACAATGTACCCACACGATATAGAACAATTATCCACGCAATGTAGCCACGCGATATAGAACAATCATCCACACAATGTACCCACACGATATAGAACAATCATCCACACAATGTACCCACACGGTACCCACACGATATAGAACAATTATCCACACAATGTACCCACACGATATAGAACAATTATCCACGTAATGTACCCACACGATCTGGAACAATCATCCACACAATGTACCCACACGGTACCCACACGATCTGGAACAATCATCCACACAATGTACCCACACGATATAGAACAATTATCCACGCAATGTAGCCACGCGATCTGGAACAATCTTCTGAACTGAACAGCTATGCTTGTGGTGTTTCCTAGGGACATCTGGGAACTGCATGGCAACTGGCTGTGGTGATTCCGGTATATGTATAGACTATGGGGACGGCAACGTGCGCTGCTCCTGCACCGACGGCTTCAAGGGAACGGCGACTCAATGTGTGGCAGAGACGGGTGAGAAAAAAATATAAATGTAACATACATACATGTACATACAATCAAGCACCGTTTTGTCGAAGTAGGGAAACACTTTGAGTTATCCGAATCATTGTGTGCGAGCTTGTGCACGAAAGAGTTTCCCGATTTAACATGTCTATATGCCAGGATTTGAGGATATTGCTCACATTTTGGTACAGCAGCTTGTATCCTACACCTTACGATGACATAACATTCAACAACATCTTATTTGATTTGATATTTATCTTACCAAAGTTAATGGACAGATTGTAGGTTCACTGGATGCACGGACGGCACGTGCGAGTCTGGGAGTGACGGGTCATTTAGATGCACGTGCAAGCCAGGCTTTGTTTTCACTCAGGATGACAACAAATGCGAGCCAGGTGAGACATGATTGCATTATAACCGTATCATTTTCCAGGTGAGACATGATTGCATCATAACCATATCATTTTCTAGGAGAGACATGATTGCATTATAACCATATCATTTTCCAGGTGAGATATGATTGCATTATAACCATATCATTTGTTTCAGTTGAGATGTACAGTTATAATAACATATCCGGTCACCTACATGTGCCAGGTAGTGAGTGAGTTTAGTTTTACGCCGCGTTCAGCAATATTCCAGCAATATCACGACTCGGGACACCAGAAATGGACTTCACACTTTGTGCCCAAGTGGGGAATCGAACCCGGGTCTTCAGCGTGACGAGGGAACGCTTTAACCCCTAGGCTACAATAACTGCCCCTGTGCCAGATAGAAAACAACTCATTTATCACCTACGTAATAGAAAACAGATCACAGTCTCCAATACTATTCAGAGCACCATAATACAGGTTTCTCTTTTGTTTGTAACCCGTGAAGATCCGGGTCCTGATAACAGCGTTAAACAACAAACACACTGCATACTGTTTTGTTTGCATATCCTTGGATCAGGGTAAAACCATTCTCTTCCCACAGAGGTTACTCCTGTCATATCTTCCTACGTAACCTCTGTTCTAATACGGCCATATTTCCCGGTTCTCGTAAAATCCCCTAGCGACAAAAGATCGCAACACGAATTATCTCCCTTCTTTCTATCCAATCAGAACACCTGTTACATCGACTTAGATTCAACTTGACTAACACAAGCAAATGTGGGGCCACAAATATCCCCCATCTGCCGGGGACTTGTGTTGATGTTACACACAAGACGTTTAATGGCTAGCTTGTCCGTTGTCAACGAGGGCGATGGAGACGCCACTGATCCGCCATAACATAACTGAGTTCTGTCTAGAAGAAACGTTTGCGCATCGCGCAGGGGAAGAAGTTTAGTTTTCTCGAAGCATACGGAAATTACCGAGGCCTTGCGAATGATCACTTTTGAAACAACGTTGCTGATTGCACAACTAAATCTGATTGTCTCCAATCACGAGTCTTGAACGCTCACACCATGAAAGGGCCGTATTAGAACAGAGGTTACGTAGGAAGATATGACAGGAGTAACCTCTGTGGGAAGAGAATGGGGTAAAACGTACGTGGTGAAGATTTCGACGAGATGTTTGTTTGTGTTTTGCAAATCGAAGGCCTGCATGATTAGTGAACATCAACATAGCGAAAACGAAGTCTAGGTTAAAATGCGCGGACGGTATACTGAGGGCATATAGTCTACTGCTTAAAGCATTCGATCGTCACGCCGAAGATACGGGTTCGATTCCTGTTATTGGTACCATTTGTGAAGCCGATTTTTGGATTCCCCAGGCGCGATATTGCTTGTATATTGCTAAGACCGACATAAAACCTAACTCACTCAGTGGTTTGTTTGTCTTGTTTAGACTCGATTAGTTCCAGGTCGTGGTGAGATAGCTGAAATATTGCCTACTGCGGCACCCGTGAAGATCCGGGTTAGAATTGGTCTTCAGCAACCCATGTTTGTCGTAAGAGGCAACTAATGGGATCGGGTGTTCAAGTTTGCTGACTTGGTTGACATATGTCATCGTATCCCAATTGCCTAGATCGATGTTCATGCTGTTGATCACTGGATTGTCTGGTCTCGATTATTTACAGTTCACCGCCATAAAGCTGGGATATTGGTGAGTGCGGCGTTAAACAACAAACCAACCAACCTACTCACTCACTCACTGATGCACGGACTATTCACGAAGATGTAGAATATTGATCTGAATTTATTTTGGTAAATATTGAAAAACATTACAGTTGTATATGATGACTGTTGTTTTTCATGAAGCCCCCGAGAACTGCCCGGACACCCCGTGTCCAAATGGTTACTGCAGGACTAACACGGACGGGAGCAAGATGTGCATGTCGGACTCTTCAGGTAAAGTTACCACAGGGGACAGGTTAAAGTTACTCAAGACATCAGAAGGAAGTCAGTGTTACTCTTGAAGTCAAATAGATGGTAATCCTCCATTTCAGGTAATTATTATCCCAGACTTTAAGTAAATGTAACTAAGACTTGAGGTAAATGTGACTGAGACTTCAGGTAAATGTTATCCAGACTTCAGGTAAATGTGACTGAGACTTCAGGTAAATGTTATCCAGACTTCAGGTAAATGTGACTGAGACTTCAGGTAAATGTTACCCAGACTTCAGGTAAATGTGACTGAGACTTCAGGTAAATGTGACTGAGACTTCAGGTAAATGTTATCCATACTTCAGGTGATTGTTACCCAGACTTCAGGTAAATGTGACTAAGACTTCAGGTAAACGTTATCCAGACTTCAGGTGATTGTTACCCAGACTTCAGGTAAATGTGACTAAGACTTCAGGTAAACGTTATCCAGACTTCAGGTGATTGTTACCCAGACTTCAGGTAAATGTGACTAAGACTTCAGGTAAATGTTATCCAGGCTTCAGATAAAGGTTAACAACGGACGTAAAGGAAAGTTTACACCGGACATCAGGTAAATGTGACTAAGACTTCATGTAAGTCTTTACCTTGGACGTCAGGTAAATTCTACTTCTGACTTCTGACTCTAAGGCAAATATTACCCAAGGTGTCGGACAAACGCTCTCCTGACTCCAGCTATGCGTGACCCACGATGTTTTGTGGAAAGCTTCTTTGTGAATCGCTCCTTATTGTTATCATTCTTGTGTTCTTTCATCAAAGCATTTACTGTAATCATTTTTGAACAGTCATTCCATTGCACAACCTTCTCCAATTTCAGCCTCTAAGACAGAAGACTGCTCGACCCGGAACTGCCAATACGGCGTCTGCATCAACAGGAACGGCGTGTACGGTTGTCAGTGCCTCATGGGATACACCCTGTCAACTACGGACCGCACCGTGTGTGTCCCACTTACACCAGGTGAGTAAAGTGACGTGGACTGGTACGTAGTGAGTAAAATGACGTGGAGTGGTACGTAGTGAGTAAATGACGTGGAGTGGTACGTAGTGAGTAAAATGACGTAGAGTGGTACGTAGTGAGTAAAATGACGTAATGTGTAGTGAGTAAAGTGACGTAGAGTGGTACGTAATGAGTAAATGACGTAGAGTGGTACGTAGTGAGTAAAATGACGTAGAGTGGTACGTAGTGAGTAAAATGACGTGGAGTGAGTAAAATGACGTAGAGTGGTACGTAGTGAGTAAAATGACGTAATGTGGTACGTAGTGAGTAAAGTGACGTAGTGAGTAGATGACGTAGTGAGTAAATGACGTGGAGTGGTACGTAGTGAGTAAAATGACGTAGAGTGGTACGTAGTGAGTAAAATGACGTAATGTGGTACGTAGTGAGTAAAGTGACGTAGAGTGGTACGTAGTGAGTTATAATGACGTAGAGTGGTTCGTAGTGAGTAAAATGACGTAATGTGGTACGTAGTGAGTAAAATGACGTAGAGTGGTACGTAGTGAGTAAATGACGTAGAGTGGTACGTAGTGAGTAAAATGACGTAGAGTGGTACGTAGTGAGTAAAATGACGTAGAGTTGTACGTAGTGAGTAAAATGACATAAAGTTGTATGTAGTGAGTAAAGTGATGTAAAGTGGTACATAGTGAGTAAAGTGAAGTAAAGTATATGTAGTGTGGTGTAGTTGCTTCCACGACACATAGTGTAGTCAGTATGATACTCATATTTTTGTGCACACTAATGCAATATTCAACTGCAAATAAAACTATAATTACAGGTCAGTCTGCCACAAATGCCATCAACATGTGCCAGTGGACTGTCTGCACTAACGGTCGCTGTGACACGGATCGGGCAGGGGCGCCATATTGCATCTGTAACCCTGACTACCAATGGTCATCGACCAGTAGGACCGTGTGTGTGAAGAAATACAAACCAGGTGGGTGGCAACGACTCCAGCACATACACACACCCGACGCTGTAGACCATGACAGACTTTCTGAAACAGACCATCCCTTGCATGGGTACAATGTATGAAGCCCATTTCTGGTGTCACCCACCGTTATGTTACTGGGATATTGCTGAAAGCGGCGTAAACTTTAACTCACTCTAACTAAAAATAAGGATGGAATAACATCAAGAATGCCGTGTTCATTCGTGGGCCGCCATTAGACCACACGTCAATATTACGTGAACAAAAGCTGTCAGTAAGGTTCCAAGGGCGCTGCCATTAGACGTCAACAATGTATACGATTTATATTCATAACACTTTTGTTAGGTACAGAATATGGCTGTTCTAGGACGATAATGAGTGTGCTCTATTTGCCAGTTCCATGGAGTTGCGATGTGAGTGGGTGTCAGAATGGCTACTGCGGTAGAGGGTATGCTGGTCACCGGAAGTGCATCTGCTATCCTGGCTTCCGTCCGGATCCTTATCACCCATCACGATGTGTCGGTAAGTGTTGTGCTCTCAGCCATAGTAGGGGCAGTGGGGTAGCCGAGTGGGTAAACCGTCCACTCGTCTTGCCGAAGACCCGAGTTCGATTCTCTTGTTAGAATTCGTCTTCAGCAACCCATGTTTGTCGTAAAAGGCAACTAACGGGATCGGGGGCTCAGGCTCGCTGGCTTGGTTTACACATGTCGTCCCAGTTGCGTAGACCGATGCTCATGCTGTTGACCATTGGTTTGTATTGGCCAGACTCGATTATTTACAGCTTATAGCTGGAATATTGCTGACTGCGACGGCAAACAAACATCAATCAATCATATATATGGGTAGTGCAGTTCGCTATCATAATTCCGATTGCATAGATACATCATTTCAAGCAATGTTTGCAAGTAATTTATTGTTTCCGTGGCTGAATGCTGTTCGGTCTACTTGCAGAGATCTACAACCCATGGAGATACGGCTTTGACATTTTTTCGTCACCAATGGGAATGCTACTTCTGGGAGATTTCTAGATCCTTGGACCGCCCAGTTGTTTCTGGTTATTAATATAAATTAATAACATTATGATTTTGAGTGTTATTGTCGTGTATAAAAATGGATATGTGTCAGCAATAAATTTTGTACGTTTGCAACGTGTGTCCTTGATCCCGAAGAATGTATCTTGAAGGAACAGAACAGGGGCGGTGGGGTAGCATAGACTGGTTACAGCGTTCGCTCGTCACGCCAAACACTCGGGTTCGATTCTCCACATGGGTACAGTGTGTGAAGCCCATTTCTGGTGTCCCCCGCCGTGATAATACTGCAATACTGCTAAAAGCGGCGTAAAACTAAACTCACTCACACACTCACTACTCACTCGGGAGTCTATTCGGTGACATGTGAAGCAGTTTGGGCCAGTATTTAATGCACTTCATCCAACTAACTTTTAACAATGGATATGGTCCACATTCCCCTAAAGCCATTACATTAGGAGTGTTAATGCCTGCACCAAGATTATGTTTGCATGCGAGAAACTGGACCCTTTCTATCACCTCTATTCTTCCCCATATTTCGCATCCATAAAGAGGGATGGGTTTAATTTGTGAGTCAAATATTTTGAAAAATGTTCTGAGTGGGACTTTTCCATATGTCCAAATAATCTGAATATATTCATTAATGCCCTTTACTCGTTAAACGCCAAATGAAATACTTCTCTTGTTAAATTTAATGAAGAGTCACCAATAGTCCAAGGTACTTATAGATAATACCATTTTTTACATTGTTTAAGATTTCCACCTTCTATGTTGAAAACACACACACACACACGCACACACACACGCACGCACACACACACGCACACACACACACACACACACACACACACACACACACACACACACACACACACACACACACACACACACACACACACATACACACACACACACACACACTTCAGTTTGCAGTGATCTGATCACACACACAAGTCTGGTTGTTTTCTGAGGTGAGATGCGAGATTGTTCCAGAGATGAGGGCCAGCCATCTCGAGTGACCTGTCACCATATGTTTTTGTCCTAGTCACAGGAATTGTCAAAAGACACTGGTCATTTGATAGAAGGGAACGTGCAGGAGTATAACGGTGGAACAGATCACGGAGGTACTGAGGAGCTAGACCATGGATACTTTTCAAAACAAGGAGTAGAGTTTTATATTTTATGCAGTAGTGGACGGGAAGCCAATGAAGTGAGTGAAGAACGGGAGTAATGTGGTCTGATTTCTTTGACAAAGAGATCACTCTGGCCGCAGTATTCTCTACCTTCTTAAGCTTGTGTATAAGATGATTTGGGAGACCCACAAGAAGAGCATTACAGTAGTCGAGACGAGATGTTACATATGCCTGAATAAGAGATGCTGTAGTCTTGACGTCCAGGTATCGTCGAATCATGCCGATGTTGCGAATGTGGTAGTACGCCCTTCTACATATGTGTTTGATGTGTGGCTCCATGGACAGTGAGGAATCAGAAATAACTCCCAAGTTACATACCTCAGGCTTTGGCTGAATCTCACACTGACCGATGCTGAATTTAGGAAGAGAGATACTGGTTTGGAGACGCTTATGGTGGAAAACTATAAGTTCTGTTTTATCATCATTCAGCTTGAGGTAGTGTGACGACATCCAGTTTTTGATGCAGCTCATACACTCTTCAATGGTGAGAAATGAAGACACAGCTGATGAAGAAAGTAAGGGTTTGAAAGATATGTAAATCTGAGTGTCGTCAGCATATAAATACAGTAGTCATCTAGAATATTCAGTTGCTCTTGTAGCTCATTTACACGATCATAAATAAAAATAACATCATCAGCAAACATAAGTAGAAACAGTTCATTTAAGTGAGTTTAGTTTTACGCCGCTTTTAGCAGTATTCCAGCAATATCACGGCGGGGACACCAGAAATGGCTTCACACATTGTACCCATGTGGGGAATCGAACCCGGTTTTCGGCGCGACGAGCGAACGCTTTAACCACTAGGCTACCCCACCGCCCCTCATTTAAATCAGGGAATAATTGTACTCCTCTCCGACATGTATATCGGCGGTTTACTCCCATAACGCAGACCAAAATGCAGATGAAAGTAGCACACTAACTTGGTGGATCATGCTGGTCACCCCTAATTAATGAATGGCCTGGTCCACTCCCCTACTGTAAGGGATTACCGTTATGTTAGTCACCGAGTAGTAGTGCACAACAACAACATTGTCTGACAACACTGCTCCATTCTTTAATCTGTTATTGATACGTTTGATGAGGAGAAGCTGTCAGATAGTTCAACTCCTCCCAGGACAAGTCATTGATAAAAAGAGTAAATAAAACGGGGCTTAATATACAGCCCTGTTTGCTTCTAGTAGGTTACAGTCAAAACACCCAGTGCTATGCATGCTGTTACAGACGAATACTAGAGATGAATCGTTACACCACTAACGAATACCATAACTGTATCATACACAACACTTTAACAGGTAGACCACATTAGTGGAGAACATTTATTATTTCTATCTATGGAATCAAATGTTTTTTTTAAGTCTTCAAAGATAACATAGAATCTACGTTTACGTTTATTTTTGTATACCAGCAGTTAGTGTGATCAAGCTGTCCATTCTTGCATATTCAGGCCTAAAGTCTGCTAAATATCTTGTTGTTATTTTCTGTCCATGTTTAATCTGCAGTTAATTATTGTTGTTATTAGGATCACACTGAGGGCCATTTTTGTAGATAGGCACTATTATACGTTTACTCCAAGTGGACCGCCTCCGTAGTGTAGTGGTTAGAGCGTCCGCCCGGAGAGCGGAAGGTCGCGGGTTCGATCCCCGATCGCGTCATACCAAAAGACGTTAAAATATGGTACTTGTTGGTACCTGCCTGGCGCTTGGCATTAACGGGTACAACAAGGACTGGTCGACTCGGAGTCGGTATAATATGTCTGAGTGGGGTATTCATGCTTCACTGCGGCATGGTATCTCAGTGGGGTAGCACTATAAAACCAGCTTTCTGGGCTAGTACAAGCAGCCGCAAATACACATACACACGCATGCACATCGTCATATGACCGAAATATTCTCAAGCACGACGTAAAACCCAATTTCACCTTACTCCACGTGCGCGGAAATGTGCCTGTGGAATAAATTCTATCAAATATAGCGTTGATGTAGGCATAGTTCCGTTACATGGGGATTTTGACATTTACGGTAGTAACACATCTAAACCTGATGACTTACCATCCTTTAATGATTTCATACCATTCAGTATCTCTTGTATTGTAATCCGACTCTTGCTCTTAGTGAATTTCTGTTTGATCGACAGCATCATAAACACCAATTGGGTGCAAAAACTCTTTGTTCAAAGCTGGAACTTAAAACAGATCTTTAAAATATTCGTACCAAATATCTGCACTGATATCTATTTGGCAATGCTTACAGTTTACTGTTACGAAGCGACCCCTCTAAGATATGTAACTGTTCTTTTTAAATGAAGTACACTCACATCTAGTGATTCACTTATATCTATATATTACGAAGCTTCTTAAATGATATCAAACAAGCGGGATCTAAACAGTTTCTGTACTGTCACTTACTATAGTGGCATTGTGTATGATAACGTTTTCTTGTGAAGTGTCTCTTAAACGTCCTAGCATTCCGCTTAAATAAAGAGGTAGCAAGACGCCTACAAATACAGCAACAGAAGCATAAATACTGTTGTTTATCTAGTCAGTGGCACGGACCAGTTCTTGTTTACATCTATCATTATGCAATCTATATACAGGTCTCTACGTGTTTAATGAAACAAGTGACCCGTGAAGGTCCGGGTTAGAATATTGACCATCAGTAACCCATGCTTATCGTAAGAGGGATCGGGATCTGGACTAACGGGATCGGGTGGTCAGGCTCGCTGACTTGGTTGACACATGTCATCGGTTCCCAATTGCGCAGATCGATGCTCATGCTGTTGATCACTGGATTGTCTCGTCCAGACTCGATTATTTACAGACCGCCGCCATATAGCTGGAATATTGCTGAGTACGGCGTAAAACTAAATTCACTCACTCACTCACTCACTCAACCACCCACCCACCCACCACTCACCACTCACTCACTCACTCACTCACTCACTCACTCACTCACTCACTCACTCACTCACTCACTCACTCACTCACTCACTCACTCACTCACTCACTCACTCATGAAACAAGTGTTTGTGGGCGTGAGGTCTGAGAACCCCGGAATCTTCTTTGCTCCACACGGAGTGTGTATGACGTCAATGTGCCGTTATTTGCATGATATGCATGTGCATGTTGACACAATAACATAACATGACATGACAAAAACGTGTAAACTGCAACATCTGTCATCATAAACCTTTTGAAGTTTCTGTTCGCGCAAATTCCGGCCCCACGGCGCGTGTCCTTTCTTGTTGTCGGACAAAACGCGTATATTAGAACCATGACTCATTCCTGAACAACACATCATCATTGTACTCCTGTAGATTGTAATATTTTGTTTGGTGACTGAATCGATTGTACGGTCCTTTTGGGAACGTTACCCGATTCTGGGAATTCTTGTTTTGAAAGAAATTGGGTTGGAAGGAGAGAAGGCCTAGAATTGCATCATCGACTCCGTCATTTCCCAGGAACCAAACTCTGTCATTTCCCAGGAACCAAACACTGTCATTTGCCAGGAGCCAAACTCCGTTGTTTTCCGGAACCAAATTCTGTCATTTGCCAGGAACCAAACTCCGTTATTTGCCAGGAACCAAAGTCTGTCATTTGCCAGGAACTTGACATCATGTCAGAAAAGGTGTACATTGTGGTTAGACTGTGTGTATTGATGATGCCGTTTTTAGCGATCGTCATGTCCCATCTGACTGCGTCGGAGCTGATAACGTTGATGGCACTGCAGGCACCGCTTGGACAGTCAGGTGAGTTCTTGCAAGTCAGGTGAGTTCTTTACAACTGGTTGCATTTTATCTAGAGTTGTATACAGCAGGGTGGGTTCAAGCTGGTCGGGTACGTTGTGTACCGCACACATGCAAAATACATACAAGATGTTGCTTGTTGTAGCCCAGCCTGACACATGCCATTAAGGGAATAGAACAAGGCACGGAACAGCCCACCGGCATTAGTCCGCCCTTTGGCAAGCATCGCCAAAAATGCATGTACACACGCACGCATGCACGCACGAAGGAACGCACATAACAATATACCTGTAGTAGGTTGTTCCTCTTATGTGTTGAGGGCATGGTGACGACATAGTCTAAGGCGCCGTAACTTGCTGTGCAGAGTTGCGTCCCGTGGGAACACCAGGATCCTATGGTCATGTGCTCGAATCTCGGTATTCCACGATTATGCTTCAAGATTTGTCAGCACTATATATCTGCTCCTGGGTTTCGCCATACTGGACCGGCATCCCTATTCTCTAAGACCAGGAGCGCTAAGGTAGCACAGTGGTTTTTGCTCTTCATACCAAATATAACCGGGTTCAATTCTTCTCTAGGGTACGAGGTGTGAAGCTCATTTGTGGTGTCGCCCGCTGTGATATTGCTGGAATATTGCTAAAAGCGGCGTAAAACCATAATCACTCACTAGTCAACCTGTCACACACCATGATACAGCTGGGATAATATTGTTTCACTCGCGTCTAAACAACGAATCTAATTTCAGGATCGATCGGTCAAGGATCCGGAGGTAATGTATTCGGACAGAAGTCCAACTGTATATATCACGGCTGTATCAACGGCAAATGCATACCCGTCCTTGGCTTGCCCGGCTACCACGTGTGTCAGTGTCCCCCGGGTCACTCCCTCCACCCCAACAACAAGTTGATGTGTAGTCCGACAGGTACGTGTAACAGATGGCCTCAACGTGTTTGTGTGTTTGTTGTATAACGCCGTACTCAGCAACATTCAAGCTATATGGCGGCGGTCTGGACCATACAATCCAGTGACCATCAGCATCGATCGACGCCATTGGGGTGAGTGGGTGAGTTTAGTTCTACGCCGCACTCAGCAATATTCCAACGGAATATATGGCGGCGGTATGTAAATAGTCGCGTCCAGACCCGACAATCCAGTGATCAACAGCATGAGAATCGATCTACGCATTTGGGATGCGAGTCTGATCACCCGATCCCGTTAGTCGCCTCTTGTTACGATGGCATGTGTCAACCAAGTCAGCGAGCCTGACCACCCGATCCCGTTAGTCGCCTCTTGTTACGATGGCATGTGTCAACCAAGTCAGCGAGCCTGACCACCCGATCCCGTTAGTCGCCTCTTGTTACGATGGCATGTGTCAACCAAGTCAGCGAGCCTGACCACCCGATCCCGTTAGTCGCCTCTTGTTACGATGGCATGTGTCAACCAAGTCAGCGAGTCTGATCACCCGATCCCGTTAGTCGCCTCTTGTTACGATGGCATGTGTCCACCAAGTCAGCGAGCCTGACCACCCGATCCCGTTAGTCGCCTCTTGTTACGATGGCATGTGTCAACCAAGTCAGCGAGTCTGACCACCCGATTATGTTAGTCGCCTCTTGTTACGATGGCATGTGTCCACCAAGTCAGCGAGCCTGACCACCCGATCCCGTTAGTCGCCTCTTGTTACGATGGCATGTGTCCACCAAGTCAGCGAGCCTGACCACCCGATCCCGTTAGTCACCTCTTGTTACGATGGCATGTGTCAACCAAGTCAGCGAGTCTGATCACCCGATCCCGTTAGTCACCTCTTGTTACGATGGCATGTGTCAACCAAGTCAGCGAATCTGACCACCCGATTATGTTAGTCGCCTCTTGTTACGATGGCATGTGTCCACCAAGTCAGCGAGCCTGACCACCCGATCCCGTTAGTCGCCTCTTGTTACGATGGCATGTGTCAACCAAGTCAGCGAGTCTGATCACCCGATCCCGTCTGTCGCCTCTTGTTACGATGGCATGTGTCAACCAAGTCAGCGAGCCTGATCACCCGATCCCGTTAGTCGCCTCTTGTTACGATGGCATGTGTCAACCAAGTCAGCGAGTCTGATCACCCGATCCCGTCAGTCGCCTCTTGTTACGATGGCATGTGTCAACCTAGTCAGCGAGCCTGACCACCCGATCCCGTTAGTCGCCTCTTGTTACGATGGCATGTGTCAACCAAGTCAGCGAGTCTGATCACCCGATCCCGTTAGTCACCTCTTGTTACGATGGCATGTGTCAACCAAGTCAGCGAATCTGACCACCCGATTATGTTAGTCGCCTCTTGTTACGATGGCATGTGTCAACCAAGTCAGCGAGCCTGACCACCCGATCCCGTTAGTCCACCTGTATGGCAGCGGTCTGTAAATAAACGCCTCCAGACCAGACAATCCAGTGATCAACGGTATGAGTATCAATCTAGGCACTGGGAACCGATGACATGTGTCAACAAAGTCAGCGAGCCTGACCACCCAATCTCGTTAGTTGCCTCTTACGACAAGCATGGATTACAGAAGATCAATTCTAACCCGAATCTTCACCGGTCTTTGGTAATTTAAGACACTTATAATTAAGCCGGTATATACATCAGTCTGGCACTCACATTTAATCAAAGACTCTAATTTCGACCTCAGTCGGTCAGTTAGGATACCTCCATTAACAAGATCGTTTGTTAAAGAAATTTTTCTCCCCTTCATGCCAATGTCTGAAATCATAGTGACAATGTGTTATGGACAAATGACCTACAGATTCCCTACATGGACACAATGTGTGCAGCCAATCTCTTATGTCCCCGGCCGCGATTTTGCTGGAATCGTGCTAAACGCGGCGTATAACAATACTCACTCAGGCATAAACTTCTGGTAAACGCTAAAAGATGTCCTACAATAATTTTAAAATTGTTCATCAATTCGAATTGCAGATGCCTCCATGTTTGAAACCCCTGGAAGTCGCCTGACCCTGTTCACGATGCTGTCACTGATTCGACGGATACAGTCCATGCAGTCCATGCAGTCAAATCGACAACCCTCACTAACACAGAGTCAGCCCCAGAACGAGGCCATGTTTGATGCTTAGACCGCCACCAAGATACTCAAGGAACAGTGCTCAGTGTGTGTTCATTGGTTAGGAGGCTGCGTTCACTGTCACGTGACCCAAAGCCGGACAGTACACCATTGAAATAAACATAAATACAGTAGGCAATACAGGCTATGATCGGATTTGCGTACGTTTCCCGATATTTCCTAACTTTGGGCACTTATTTCACATGTCGCTGCACCTTCGAAACATACGATCATCGTATACTGCCGTATGCACAAGCACCTGTTTCATGTATGCTATGACGGGATTTGCAGTCATTTCCTCAGTAAATGTTTGATCATAGAGTATTTCCATTACATTCCTTTCAGTTGTAATAGGTGATGAAATGTCTGAATCTGTTCTAAGTTTGTTAGGGTTGGAAATTTGAATATTTCCTTAGGCGGAAAACATTTGTATATTTTCAAACGATTTTATGCCTCAGAAACTTAGGAATCATTCCGGATATCAAGAGTATGTATTTGAACAGGTTGTATGTCCACATTACATTACTAAAACAAGATTAAACAGAATTACTGAGTTCACATTATCTTATTTTCACAAAAGCTGAAGCCTTTCACATGAAACCTCATGCGACCTAATTAAGCTTCTACCGATGAGGGTCTAGCAAAACATTGTAATGCAAGCCGAGTCGCTTCAATCAACACCGCAGTATTTCCTATATATAACCAGGAATACTCTACTTATATAGTCTCCCTGATATAACCAGGTGAGGAAATCAACGTATCATCAGAGGCCCATCTGACCTCAAACCAGAGTTACCTCCCCTTAAGTTTTACCCTGACCCGGAAGGAAAACTCTAAAACCTAGGGCCTTGTTTAAATGGGTTGTTCTGTTTGTGCAAATTAATTCCCGTGTGACTTTTGAAAGCTTAAATGAAAGATCAGGCATTGTACTTTATTGCAAACTTTTTTGTCTACAATCTGCACATGGCATTGACTGAAGCCTTTCAAGATCTGACCCTAAGATCAAGGCTGTTTAGAAACTTCCAGTGACCATTGTTGAGAGTGGATACAGCAAAATATAGATGGTCGATCTAGGCCGATATTTTGCCGGTTAAGTGACAATTGGCAGGTTGATCAGCATGCAACAGTTGAATAGCCTATGGCCAATAGTAATCATGGTGGACTGGCATGTCATTGAAGATAGCAAAGGAGGAAAATAATTGTGGTCTGAGGCCACGTGACCTACGTTTGACATGTACGTGTCATCTGGCCACCTCATTTGCATTTTTCGCAGCTCATGAAATAAAAGAACATTTGGGAGAGTATGAACAAATATTTCACAGTCGGTCTCCCTGCGGCTTCTGTCAACAAATTCACAGCTCGTTAACATAGACAAAGGATGCTAAGTACATTAGCAACATTCCAGCAACATCACCAGACACCAGAAATGGGCTTCACACATTGTACCCATGTGGGGAATCGAACCAGGATCTTCGGCGTGAGTAGCGAACGCTTAAACCACTAGACTGCAACACCACCCCAGCAATATTATGAAGTAAAACAACTTCTTTGAGTGGCATTTTAGAAGTTGGGAAGTACAATAAAGGACAAACTTTATGGATAACAACTTCTTTTTATTCGTGAGTGCGACGTGAGTGCGACGTTTCGATACATATTCTTGTGTACATATTCATATGTACACAAGCCATTCATGTAGAATTATGGGAGTCTATGGTATGCACATTTCAATTACTTTCTTCACATGAAAGTAGAAATATATATCTTTAAAAAATGCAAGTATATAAACACCAGAGATAAGGCAGAGGGTGTATTAAATTCCACCACCGATACAATAAAGTCCGACGTCGAGATATTGATAGTTCATCCTCTACACAGCTATTTGTATACACAGGGCAGTTGATTAAGACGTGTAGTTCATCATCTACACAACTATTTGTATACACAGGGCAGTTGATTAAGACGTGTAGTTCATCATCTACACAGCTATTTGTATACACAGGGCAGTTGATTAAGACGTGTAGTTCATCATCTACACAACTATTTGTACACACAGGGCAGTTGATTAAGACGTGTAGTTCATCATCTACACAGCACAGATTAAGCAGTTGATTTGTATACACAGGGCAGTTGATTAAGACGTGTAGTTCATCATCTACACAACTATTTGTATACACAGGGCAGTTGATTAAGACGTGTAGTTCATCATCTACACAGCTATTTGTATACACAGGGCAGTTGATTAAGACGTGTAGTTCATCATCTACACAACTATTTGTATACACAGGGCAGTTGATTAAGACGTGTAGTTCATCATCTACACAACTATTTGTATACACAGGGCAGTTGATTAAGACGTGTAGTTCATCATCTACACAGCTATTTGTATACACAGGGCAGTTGATTAAGACGTGTAGTTCATCATCTACACAACTATTTGTATACACAGGGCAGTTGATTAAGACGTGTAGTTCATCATCTACACAACTATTTGTACACACAGGGCAGTTGATTAAGACGTGTAGTTCATCCTCTACACAGCTATTTGTATACACAGGGCAGTTGATTAAGACGTTCATCCTCTACACAACTATTTGTGTAGTTCATCCTCTACACAGCTATTTGTATACACAGGGCAGTTGATTAAGACGTGTAGTTCATCATCTACACAGCTATTTGTACACACAGGGCAGTTGATTAAGACGTGTAGTTCATCCTCTACACAACTATTTGTACACACAGGGCAGTTGATTAAGACGTGTAGTTCATCCTCTACACAGCTATTTGTACACATAGGGCAGTTGATTAAGACGTGTAGTTCATCCTCTACACAGATATTTGAAAACATAGGGCAGATGGTTTGTGGGAAGAATGATAAAACAAGAAGGTGTCTACTTGGATGGACAGCATAGACTCTTTGGGAACAATTATATCAATAGTTTCCCTTTCCTATTACTTTGTACTATATAATGTTCACACCATTTTCTGGTTTCCAGTTTTAGTAATACCCAATCGTGTATATAAGACTTATTAGTAGCACGTTCCATACGTGTAACCTGTAATACCTGTATTACACATACATACCGGTTTACGTTGTAAATATCCTGACACTATTTTCAGTAAAACGTATTCCATACGCTTCATGTTACTTTGTAAGAGCTTATGCAATAAGTATGCGTCTTGTCATATTTTTTACTACAAATGTGTGTGTTCAAATGTCCTTGACGGCAGCCTGGACCAGACAATCCAGTGATTGATACAATGAGCATCGCTCTTAGCAAATGACATGCATCAACCAAGTCCGCGAGTCTGACTACAATACCGCGAGTCTACTCTAATCGTAATCATGGGTTGCTGAAAACCAGTTCTAACCAAGATACTTACGCGTCCCACCCATTTGCAAATCTATTAGGTAGGTTAATAAAAAATATTTAAAAGTCAGTATCACGGTATTGGAGTCCATCTTTGATTGTAGGTATATCCCATTGTATAAATTTCATGATAGACAATTAACGCAATGTATGTAGTCAATTACAGCTGTATCTTCTAGCGGGAACTGTAACTAAAACGATTGCTTGTAATCAAGGTACATGTAATCACAATGAGCTATTCAATACACGCATATATACGTTACTCTGAATATTGACAGTTGTGTTAGATGCATTAGAAACGGTTGGCGGTAAACCTGGGTCGTGATATCTTCTTCGCCACACGCAAGCTCACTTGGTAGTAAAAGGGTGTATCCTTGCATTGATCAACAAATATTAAATAGCATTTCGTTTTGGAATTAATTGGAAAATGTTGTCATCTTTTTATTCTTTTGATACCTGCATTTTTATGATAATTAATGAACACGTTTTGAAGTTTAACTTCATCTGCTGTTTGTAAAAAATGGATTGAGAAGAAAGGTATTTGTGTTAAATTATCATGTCACAGTTTTGTTGGGGTGCCAAGTTACTATTGTCATGGTAACAATATGTTTAACAATGACTAGTTTTCACCCGTGTTTTGTAGCTGGCAACCATGAAACGACCGCAGCTTTCATTTATTTTCACAGACCCCCTGAATGCAAACTAGCTGCCTAAAATCTAGGGTATTTTTTTCATTCATGACGCTGAACCGTAATGGAATGGATGGAACCCGTTAGAAGTGTAGCCATATCTCCTTATATGGTCATGGTCGCTTGTCTGTGCCTGCCGCCTCTCTCATCATAAAAGGTTTCTGTACCAGATGTTGTGCACAAGAATAATCATATGGCGTGACTATATTGTTTGTCAAAAACTTGTTTATGCTACATTGCTGGTTACGTCATGATGAGGCAATGAAAAATGACATGAATTTGGTATCATATGACTATAATTATAATGACAATATCTCAAATTCAAAGCGACAAAGCCCACAATCTGCCAGACTGCACATCGTCAAGCTACCAGGAAGGAATCACAAAGACATATCACAGCTGTTCTTGGAAAGTCGAGGTCACCCTGCTCCTCGCCAAAACAACAATCAACAAACACACTCGTAACTCATGATATGTGTGGAATCGTGTGTCACATTGGATCATTTTCTAAATGGCTTTTGTGAATTCATAACAAACTCACACAATGGCAAGTCAAATAATTGTTTGATCGGCATTCTAGAAACTGGTTAGTCAATAACGAAACATACAGGAACTTGATATTTATAGACGTGTAGGCCAATTGTGTACCCGAATAAATATCCACGTGGACACTTAGCTCAACTCACACGTGGAAGTGAGTGAGTATGGTTTTACGCCGCTTTTAGCAATGTTCCAGCAATATCACGGAGGGGGGCACCAGAAATAGACTTCACCCATTGTACCTATATGGGAAATCGAACCCGGTCCTTCGTCGTGACAAGCGAACGCTCTAACCACTAGGCTACCCCCCTGGACTCACACTGGAGAATTGCATGGGACAACTTTGATATCAATGGGGACACAGGGTGGATCTCTCTTATTGTCCGACAAGGGTTATGTGTAGTTAGACAGTGGTGTCGTTTTATAAACAATATGTTTTCTTATGGTCGGAAAGGCTTGCTGCTAATCGTAAAAATGGAATTACCGTTTTTCGTCAAAATTGGCAGACCTAAGTATGCAGCACAATTAAATATCACCACTCGTTCAAATACTAAATGTATATTCTCAAATACGCAAGATTCACTTATAAACAACTATGCTGAACCTTAGCATGAGCGTTTATGGAAAGCCCCGTACCTTTAAGAGTAGAAACAGGCAGATATACAAATTTAAATGGTAAGGATAGTTTGTTTTAACTGTAATGAACAAACAAGAAACCAACCAACCCGATAAACATAATAAGCATACTTCCTTAAAGTAATGTGTAATAAGAAGCAAACCAAAACAACACTCTTGTTGTACGTGCTACTTGGATTATGTCCAAGAGTGAGTGAGTGAGTGAGTGAGGTTTTACGCCACACTCAGCAATATTCCAGCTATATGGTGGCGGTCTGTAAATAATCGAATCTGGACCAGACAATCCAGTGATCAACATCATGAGCATCAATCTGCGGAATTGGGA